GTTGAACACATACTCCCGCATCGACGTCACATTCGACACCTGGAATCCAGTCTGCAGATTGAACTGCTGATCAGGCGTCAAATTCACTTGCGGTGTTTGCGTAGGGACAAGAGACGAAGTCGTTGTTGGCGTTATCGTCGTCGTCAGTTCCGGCACTGGGTCCGCCGGTGGTGGCGGCGGAGGCGGCGGGGGGCTTTCTTCATGATTATCCTCATCGTGGGCCGGTTCGGCCGGCCGGTCCTTGGTCTGTACATTGAAGAATTGGGCGAAAATGAAAGGAATGAGTGTCAGGATAGACACGCAAGTGAGTACCATGATCCATCGAAAGGTCTTCTTGTGGCCCGCATGGCGTCGGTAGTGGCCCTTCTCGCTGTAGTCGGCTGAGTCGGGAAGCAGGCGATCCTCCACGTCAGTCTCCGACGACGATCTGACGCCTAGCATGGGGTCTTGCTCGTCGCGCGTCCCGTCCCGCGGGACCAGGCCGGAGCTCATGGTTGCTGCGCTAATGAGGGAAGGTATACAAATATGACGGCTCAAACAATATACACAACGAACCTGGGTTCGCTATCAGAAAGAGAGAAAATAAACAGGCCCAACAGCAAGACAGACACCCCGGGTTTCTAGCAATTGATGTTCACCATACAACCTTCGCTGCGTGGGTTGACAAGAAACACGAGAAAACGAAGAACCACGTGGTAAAAGGGGCAAACGGCTGGGATAAAGGGAAAAGCCACCACTAAGATGCAACGGGGATCCTCTCTTTTTGCTTGTATCCGGTCGGCGAGATATTCGGCGAAACGGGGTGATGGACTCCGGGATAAATCACCCGTGAAAAGACAAGAGATAGGCCCCGGCGCTTAGCAGCTCGGTAATTGCAACTCTTCTTTAGCTCTTCCAGACCTCTGGAAATTTTCCTCTGGAAATTTTGACGCTATGAAACGCGAAACTGCGATCCAAACTATGCGGAAACTTTCAGCCAATTAGACATTTACAAACCTTCCAACCACAGTTCGTTGATCGGCTTGCGTCGCCTTGTCAGACAAGTGGTGTTTTCATGTGCATTCCCAATCAAGCTATCTTCCAATCTCTTAAGCGACACTCCGCCTCTCTACGAAGACTTTCCAGTTGAAAATATGCGTCTAATAGAGGGGAGGTTTCGAGGTGCCAAGTTTCCGGTGGGTTCAGGGGCCCGTGTTCGGGAAAGTCTGACCACTATCGTTCGCTAAACAGCCTCTCAATACGACGCCCAGAATCATCCCGTCTCGAGTTCCGGTGCATCGGAATAGGTGTTTCAATTACACGGTGTTCGCCTGCTGGCCCTTCCTTCAAGACCTACTGTCACGGTTATGTGAATCATAAGAAAGCTTCGATCGCACTACGAGTCTGGGATAGACTTTCTCTGTATGACCAAGAAGTATCAGGGTGTGACCCCCGCAGCTTCAATCGTCTCGGCGGCGATGGTCCCCTGATTTGACAGGAGTGATCGGCGAACTGCTGTCCACTGTGTATGCCGGGATTGAATCGCTTGTCACTGGTTTAAGTGCATAAAATCCAGCCCAGCCAGGAGCCTGTCAACTTGAGCTATGTTCTTAACTAAGGTATCATCTGGCACACCCCAGAATTGATGGGTGACGGGCAATTGACACAGACTCTTTACATCGAACTTATTGGGTTCGATACATCCGTACTCATGAGATAGGGTCTTAAAAAGGCTTGGATAGCGAAGGTCTAAGTGGGCCTCATGATACCATCTACTCCAGCACTTCTCTCTCACTATATAATTTCGCTCCTCCATCAAGTCGGGGCCAAAAGAGAACACATGGAAGCTGATGTTGTAGAAGCCCATCACCCCACATCACTTACGAGGTACCTAGACTGACTGATTGTTGTTTGAGAGTGCACCAAGTTGAACCGATATGGCAACTATTGTCAACTCCTAGTTGATACTTACCAACTAGGGTACTGTTCAGTCGCTACACAACCAAAATGTTGCCTTACTGAGAAGCTGATTGTTGAGCACAAGGTTTCAATTGACAGCCTGTACCTGAGAAACATGACCAAGAAAACCCCCTCAGGCCTGCAGTCCTGTGCTTGTTGGACGATGCCAAAGGAACTTTCGTATAGACCTCGGCCCTCACCAAATTCTGGACGGATTCTTCAGAGGGTGTTGCATCGGCCGTAATGCCTAACATGGACTTAGTTGGTTGACATGGATACAATCGTCACAGTCGTTGGAGTAGGACCGGACGCAGAACATCAATTGAGCATGGTCCGTCTTCCGATCCCCACGGTCCAAAAGGGAATTCGCCAACCATCATCCACGGGCCCGTACGGAATGAAACGTCGCTAAGGAGGGGCAAGTGGGAGACCGAACGCTCATCAAGTCCGCTCCACGTTCCCGCAGGATCCTCCGCAGTTCGCGACGACTTGTCGATCACTCATGAGGTTTCTATCAAGGGCAACGGCAACTAACTCCGCAATGTGGCCATGAGTAATGTTCCTTATATATATATAAGTCCGTTCTCGCTCATGCGCCTCTTTAGATCGCACACTCTCAAACTAGTTCACTTGACTTTCCGGACTTTCTTGACGATACCCGACGCACCCTACTTATCAACATCGAAATCAGTAATATCATAATACGAAAATGGCCGAGACACACGGAACATGCGAGGTCAAGTTCCAGGGCGTTCGCGATAAGTTCAGTGAACTCTTGGGATCTGGAGTCGAGCTCGGTGCATGTCTCACTGTCACCATCGACGGCGAGGACGTCGTCAACTTGTGGGGAGGTTACGCTGACGCCAATCGCACCCGCCCCTGGAAGGAGGACACCATCGTCAACGTTTTCTCTACAACGAAAACCATTTGCGCGCTCGCAGGCCTCATTCTCATCAACGAGGGCGAAATCTCGCCCTACGACAAAGTCTCCAAATACTGGCCCGAGTTCGCGGCCAACGGCAAGGAGAATGTCGAGGTCCGCCATCTTCTGTCCCATAGCTCGGGTGTGGCGGCGTTCGAAGACCCCATTACCCTCCAAGAGATGTCCGCCTCATATGAGGAGGTCATTTCCAGGCTTGAAAAGCAGCCGGCCCGCTGGGAGCCCGGAACCAAGTCTGGATATCACGCCTGGACCTACGGCTACTTGATCGGAGAGCTGGTGCGCCGAAAGACGGGATTGACTCTCACGGAATTCGTCTCTCAAAGAATCGCAGGGCCCCTTGGTGCCGATATGCAGATCGGAGCAAAGGAGAAAGATTGGCCTCGCGTCGCAGAGCTGATTCCCCCTCCGGCCCCTCCAGCCCACATTATGCCTGAACAAGACGAGGATCCCGACTCTCTGAAGCACAAGATGCTCCATCCGTTCCCGGATCCTAGCTTCGCAAACACTGAGCCGTGGAAGAAGGCTGAGATTGCCGCAGCAAACGGCCACGGCAACAGCAAGGCTTTAGCGATGATTTGGTCCAAGTACCTTACGATTGGTGATGAGAGCAAGAGACTCTTGTCTCAGAAGACGATCGACCTTATCTACAACGAGCAGACGTACGGTCCCGATCTGTGCATGGGATTCCCCGTTCGCTACGGAATCGGCATGGGTCTCAGAGGCAATGGCAACACGCCGGTGGACTCCTGGTTCCCGGAAGGGAAGATCTGCTTCTGGGGTGGCTGGGGTGGATCGATGCTCATCAATGATCTTGATCGTCGGATCACCATTGCCTATGCGATGAACAAGATGTCGCTTGGTTCTGCAGGCAACGAGGCTGTGTATGCCTACGTTGCTGAAATTTACAAGGCACTGGGCGTTCCCGTAGGAACCCCTAACGCTCAAGCCTAAGGTCTCTTGTGATGGGTTTGGGTAGAGGGGATTCGTGGATAATAATATCATTCATTGTCGCCAGTATAGCTAAGAAAACTCGCTATATTGGACACTAAACGCAAATTGCTCCTTCATTATTATGGATCCAATGCATTGAACTCTACCCAAAAGTGGTCTCGAACGCGACTGGACTTCAAAATACCAGTTTACAACAATTTACAACAATCTATATACGTGTGCTATTGGAAGCCAGCTACAAAAGACTACAATTTTGGGAAATTGTGAACCATAAGCTATAGTCGTGCTATTGCAACACCAATTTCCGACTCAACTTCATCAATGAACAGCTTTTGGGATCGATCTGCTCCTTAATGGCATCACCCTGGTTTCAGCGTTGGCAAATATATCATTCCATTTAACAGCTGAAGTCTACTTGTCATACGGACATACTTTGTGATCTCAAAAGCCCCATGCCTGATGCCATTGTCTGTAGCTGTCTTGTGTAAGTAACTACTCAAGTGAATGTTAAGTTACGTCACATGAAATCCGTACATCATATCATCTTTTAGATGTTCAAATAGCATAACGGGGTACATACTTACTTCAAGGTCGGGTTTTGTCGTTGGCTCGACCAATCCGTCCTCTTTCTCGATATCCTCGGCGAAACGAGCAACTCCGGCCCACGGCTACATGCCTCGAACCGGATAAAATGCTTCGTAGCGAAGCACACCGACTGACTAGTTGTTGACATGCTCCCATGCTAAAATTACACAAACATATCTGGGGTCCGGACCCCGGACCCCTGTGGGGTAGGGCTGGCCGTATCTGTGATATCCCAGCGGTTCGTTGCCGAAGATATTCGCTGGGCACTAAGTGCTGTGGCAATGCTACATGCCTGCATTACTGCTTATTTCATTGCATATCTAGGGCGAAAAAGCCCACCACTGCATGTCAAAATGGAAGCAATGTCACCAATGGCCCGTAGACTCGGCCCCGGGGTTCCCTTCTGACCCTTGGCTGCATTAGCAAATTCATCGTGGGCAGTCATGTCGGACTCGCACATATCTTTACGGGTGTCCGCGTCTCAATGCACTTTCCTTTCTCCTCTCTCTACTGTATAGCCAGGCAGGAATCTTGCCCATTTACTTGTCAAGTTCCTTGATCGCATCGATCGCCAATTTTCAGTATGCGCCTTTTGGATCTGAGCCTTACTGCCCTGCAAGCCAGCGCGCTCGGTTTGGCTAGTCCAGTTTCCCGCTCAGCAGAGTCCGACATAGATCTTGCAACTACCGAAAGGCTCCAACAGCTTGCGAGCTTGGCCCAGACTGCCTTTGACAAGACAAAGTCGGAGGTCGAGGGCAGTGAAACTACAAAGCGCAGCAGCGCATGCTCTTGGCATGATGTTCGTGTTCGGAGAGAGTGGTATGGTCTTGCCTTCCATCGTCAAAGCATTGTCCCTGTAGTTCGTTCTGCTTACATTGCGATTTCTTAGGGGCACGCTGAGCAAATCTGAGAAGCTTGACTACATCAATGCCGTCAAGTGTCTTCAGTCCAGGCCTGCCCGCACACCCGCTTCACAGTCTTCTGGGGCTAAGACTAGGTTCGATGACTTTGTCGCAACCCACATCAACCAAACTCTCACCATACACTACACTGTCCGTATTATGAGATAAGACTATATTGTCAAGATAACTGACCGTAGCAGGGTAACTTCCTATCCTGGCATCGATATTTCACATGGCAGTATGAGGAGGCTCTGCGCAACGAGTGTGGCTACAAGGGCACTCAACCCGTGAGTACCTCAACTCATGGTTACGTCAGTATCCTTACTAACCTAATACAATAGTACTGGGACTGGTCCAAGACCGCGATCACAGGCTTGGAGACCTCTCCAATCTTCGACGGGAGCGAGACCTCCATGTCCGGAAATGGTGATTTTGTCCCAGGACGGGAGCCCATCCGTCTCGGTGGCCAAAATGGTCTGCCGATCATCGAACTTCCAGTCGGTACAGGCGGAGGCTGCGTAAACTCTGGGCCCTTCAAGAATATGACAGTCAACCTTGGCCCCGCTGCCCTTGACCTGCCCGGAGGTATCTCCGAGGCTAATCCTAACGGGCCCTTGACATATAACCCCCGCTGTCTCAAACGCGATTTGACAACTGAGGTCAACCTCTTGTACGCCAACGTGACTGCTGTGCTGTCCAACATTCTCCAGCCTCAGAACGTGTACGACTTCCAGATGCAGATGCAGGGTGTGCCAGGCTCTGGTAACATTGGTAAGCTTGATAAACTTCGATAGAAATTCAATGCAGGTAGGAAAATACTGACGAGACTTTCTCGATAGGCATCCACGGTGGTGGTCATTACTCCCTTGGAGGAGATCCCGGAAGAGGTCAGACACACGAAATTCCAGCAGGCTGAACGGTGCTAACTTCTGACTGTAATGAGTAGACGTTTTTACTTCCCCAGGAGATCCTGTTTTCTATCTCCACCATTCGATGATTGATCGAGTATGGTGGATGTGGCAGATGCTTTCACCGCAGGAGCGTCAATATGGCGCCACTGCTCTCAGCGGAACCAACACATTCCTGGATCAACCCCCCAGTGCCAACACAACCATGGATGATGTGCTCCAGTATGGCTGGGCTGGGGAGTCCCTCAAGATTTGGGACGCCATGAGCACCGTTGCAGGTCCATTCTGCTATGTGTACCTATGAATGGAAGTTCCACAACGGGGAGGATTACTTCACATATTTGTGTGCGGATAATGGCAACTGTAGCTTCGATTATAGTTAAAATTCGCTTCTCCTACGTATCATATATCTCAAAGTATGACGTTAAGATGAATCGCCGATTGTTATGGAGGAAGGACTTCACCACCACCTCGCAAAGCCGCGCCGGCCTGTCTCCGGTGCGGAATCGAGCAGATCTCCCGAAGGCCGCAATCCGAAGAGGACCCACACTTCGGGGTCATTCCGGGGAATCGACCCGTAGTCCAGCCGATTGAACTTACTTGATCACTCAAGTCAGCCCTGTGCTGCTAGCCGATGTCTTTCAAGTAGGTATGCATGGCGTTCCAGACGATGACGCGAATATGCTCAATGCGGATAGTGTCGCCGCGGTTAGCACGGCACAGCTTGCATCAGGATTGAGGCGCCAAACCTAGCGTCATGTACACGCGGAAGCTCCCTCGGGGGGATACGTCTTGGCAAATGCTTGATTCACCCGACTGAGAACTCGGTATGCAGAACACATGAACGTCTCTGAGAGCACGTCTTACTGTGTTTGAGGCGCCAGAATTCTCTCTTTCCAGGACGATGTTCACTTTCTCCCAAAAATGATGTATCGCTAGGCGCAGCCACCTCGAAACTCAGACACATTAGGACGAATCTGGGCTAGCAAACGTCAGAGTACTTAAAAGAAGCGTTCGCCAAACCAGAGATTCCAGAGGTATCAAAGCATCTCGCTGTATTCATTAAGCCAACCAAGTCAAGTCGATTGTTGGTTCTCACAGCATCATGCGTGTCCTTATCAGCGGAGCAGGCATCGCCGGTCCAACGCTGGCTTGGTTTCTGGCCAGGACCGGTGCGCGTGTCACAGTCGTTGAGAAGTGCAAGTCGATTCCTACCTACGGCCATAACGTCGACGTCAACCACAGCGCTATCACCGTCTTGAAGAAGATGGGCCTCATTGATCAACTTCGACGCTTCAACACAACAGAAAAAGGAACACAATTCATCGATCCGCAGGGGCGGCCCTTTGCTCCCTTTCCTGTCAAGCAGGGCTCTTCCGCAAGCCCTACCTCGGAATTTGAGATCCTTCGAGGGGACTTGGCTGCAGTGTTGTACGAAGCCACGAAGACCCATCCCAACATCAAGTACCTCTTCGGCACTACCGCCAGCAAAGTCATATCCAACGACGACACCAATGTCAAAGTTGAGCTAAGCAACGGAGAAGTACAAGAGTACGACTTATTGGTCGCAGCAGATGGCCAGTGGTCAAAGGTACGAAAGCAAGTCTTTCCCCAGGAAAGCATCACCGTCATCGACAAGAACATGTACGTCGCCTACGCCGCTATTCCCCGCCTCCCCGAGGACAACGACTGGTGGAATATCTACCAGGCCCTGGGATCGAGGATCATCACCACTAGGCCCGACCCGCACGGCACCATACGGGCCATGTTCACCCATATGCCCTGCGACGGCGCGCAGAAGACGGCGTGGCAGGAGGCCGCACGAGGCGATAAGAAGCTCCAAATGGAGCTCGTGAGGCGGGAGTTCCTAGACGCCGGGTGGCAGACGCCCCGGATCATGGACGCCATGGCACAGGCGGAAGATTACTACTTCCAGGACCTGAAGCAGATCAAGATGAAAACGTGGTCCAGCTCCCGTGTCATCTGCCTGGGAGATGCGGCCTTTGCACCGACGCCCCTCTCGGGCATGGGAACTACACTGGCCATCATCGGAGGTTACATGCTTGCTGGCGAGCTCACCAAACTCACACCCGGAGAACATCCTTCCCGGGCATTCGAAGCTTACGAGGCCGCGTTTCGCCCCTACGTCGAGGAGACGCAGAGCGTTCCGTGGTTCTTCCCAGGAGTCGCGCATCCGGTCACGGCATGGCAGAGATGGTTGCTAGGAACGATTGTTTCGACGATGTCCAGAGTTGTTGCGATGCCTTGGGTGGCTAAGAAATTCTTTGATGATACGAACAATGACGATTCGGAGTTCCCACTGCCGGCATATCCTCTTCTAGACGATGAGAAGCTAAAATGAGACAAGTTGGTGACAAGACACAAGAGGCAGGGCAGTGGTACACTTGGTACTAGATGAACAATTAGGGGAGGAATTCAGGTCATGGCTAGTCTTGGGCAACGACAACTTCGTTTCGCTAAGCATGTTGAAGAGTCCATTGAGAGGTTTATTCATAATTTATCTACAAATTCATTCGCAAATTTACCTTGAGTGATAATTTTGAAAAGGAAACATTCCGAGAGTTGTTAATAATTCTATGAAGTTTGACGAAGAGAGGAAGGGAGAAAGTGAAGATACTATGCCGACCTCGCCTTACCTGATGATGGGCAGTATCGTCAGCTACGAGCAAGAGAATGCAAGACCACCTGCTAAAGAAAATCAGTCATATTAGTTGCTTTCGAGGTTGAACCGATGAATCAGCTTTCCACCCCTTTAAACCTTGTTTATAGAGGGTCTCCCGGCGAGGCAAAAGACCGAGTCCGCATCGCATGACCTCGTTGGTAAAAGACATTGCCTGTTCGAGAAATAGAATATATGAAGCAAGTTCTTAGCGAGAGGTTCATTTATTTCACAATGGCCACTTTCCGCTTTTCTTCAAGTTCCCCCTCGAGTTGCTCCACGTCGGGGGATCAATCTTGTAAATCCACCCAATATTCTTCTCACCATAACTAACAGGACCCTTCGTCTCTAACCCGCTCAAACCCATAGACCTCATGACCGCTCTCCAGGGCTCATTCTCAAGCTCGGTCTCGACGCGTACAACACTACAGCCGAGCCCCTCGACAGCAAACTCGACTTGGCCACACAACACCTCTCTGCCGTACCCCTTTCCCCAGTAACGATGGTCGAGGACCACCCCGAAGTCGGTAAGATACGGCGTAATAAGGCGACGAGCCTCTCCAGTAATACCATCTTCCGCAGTATCCTCACCTCCTTCTCGCCCCTCTTCATCCCGCTTCCTCTTCAGCGCAACATCACACGTCTCCCCCTCCGCAGTCTCAAAACAGTTGAACCCGCCACATCCAATTAAATCGCCCGTCTCCCGGATCGTAATCATCAAGATGGCTTTCTTTCCAGAGGCGTAATCCGGTCCCCACCTCTCGATGCGGCCGCGTATGATCTCGGGAGAGATGTTCGTCTGAGCACCCCCAAAAGGGTGGTTTTCGGGCGTCGAGAGGAGGCGACAAAGAGCCTCTGCATCGTCCGTGACGGCGCTGCGTATGATGAGCCGTGGGGTTGTAATGTTGTAGGCGGCCTGAGGGAACGGGGAAGTCATTGTTGCTGGGGTTTTGCGTGGCTTGGTGCTTTTCTTGGAAGATCAAGATATGAATAGCTGAGGAGGCACCTTGAGGAATGCCTAAGGTGATGCAGATAATTGATGACCTTTTGCTAGGTGGAAGCACGCTCCGCAGGTCAAGTAGGAACCTCTTGTCCGTGACTGTCTGGATCAAGCGAGTTGACCTGCACGTCAGATTCCTACGCGAAGAGCAGAATGGAAGATCTAAAGGTGAGTTTGATGTCGGAAAATGACTAGGATGACTTCCTCACACCTTATTTCGAAGAGAGGAGGGGGAATCCTCTAGTCTACGTAAGTACCTTTGCTTGCCCTATCAACGTTGATCGGTCTGTCAGACGTTCAATCCGGACCTTTTGTTCGCTTATCCTTCATCCCTGTCCTGTTTTTGGCCTCAGCCAGCAGTGGTACATGAGATGAGCCGTGAGTGAGACCGGGGATAAGGAGTGGAACTGAATTTCTCAGTGAATGCCTGAGTGGTCTACAGAGTTGATGAGCAGAATTGTCCACCAATAAGTCAAAACTTATATTATCTGTAAGTCAAATGTGGCTGAATAGGGAGAAACACATCAAACAGTGATGACGGGCAAAGAAACTGAAGACAAGAAGAAGATGACCAACGACTTTCTACCATTTTATAAACTTTACACGGCTCAATATAAAATTTCGCTAACTAACAACTAAGATATCATCACCTCTTCCGTCTTTAATGGTGAACGGTCCATTGACGTAGAAATGAGAAACAGCTTCCAAGAAAGGCCTGCTCACACAACATGAAGCTCAAACCAGGGGGGGAGGAAGGATCCTGCGGGAAGGCTCGCTGCCACCCTCGGTCCACCCCAGCCCTTCCACCTTGCGTAACAATTAGTCGGCGCGGCGGCGAAGGTTCCTCCTGGCCCAGCGCGTGCGGAGCACGGCATCTGGTGTCTCGTCACGCTTGTTGTTGTTGCCGTTCTGCTGGTTCTGGCGGTTACCGTTGCCCTTTCCAACAGTTGCCAGAGGCAGTGCGTTGTTGTTCCCGTTGGCATTGGCATTGGCATTACCATTGTTGCCGCCGTTCTGGGCGTTGGTGTTGGCACCGCCGTTGTTGTTCTTGCCCCGGGTCCGTCCGTTGCCTCCGTTGTTGCCCGTGTTGGCATTGGTGTTGCCAGTATTAGCATTGGTGTTGCCGGTATTAGCATTGGTGTTTCCAGCGTTGGCATTGTTGTTTCCGGCGTTGGCGTTGTTGTTGCCATTGCGGTTGCCCTTGCCCTTCTGTCTTCCGTTACCATTGCCGGCGTTGGCATTACCATTGTTGTTGTTGTTTCCGTTGTTGTTATTGTTGTTGTTGCCAGTGTTGGCGCCGGAGCCGGCAGGGCCGGCAGCCTCCTGAGTGGCATTATTGCCGAGGAGCTCCTTGATGGCGGTAACACCCTGATCGTCCTGAGTCTTGGCTTCCTGGTTCGACTTGACGGCGGCAGGGAGGTCGACAATGTTCTGCTGGACCTGCTTCAGGACACCGTCAAGGGTCTGGGCGGTGGGAATGTTGGCGGGGGTGTTCTGCTTGGGCTTCGTGTCCGTTTGCTGAACAGCGAAGCAGCCGCCAAAGGGACCCTTCGCGTTGTCGTTGAAGCAGCGGACGGTGCAGACATCACCGGTGGAGGCTATCAGCAAGATTCGTTAGTCATCGGCAAACTTGAAGCGCGGCGGAGATTCCTATGGCGACGACCATGCAGGAATATAGAGTTGACATACCTCCTACGCAAGCCAAGTCATCCGGCATCGTGACCTTGAGCTTTATCTGACCGCTCTGGGCCCCTGCCTCTTGCACCTGAAGCTTCGTCTGACCCGTGGCACCGTTGGCGTTGCTAGTCAAGTCAAGATCGCAGCTGTACGGTCCGGCGCCATCCGGGCTGACTTGGGCAATGGTGACGTCGACGTTAGACCCCTTTGTGACCTTCGTGACGGTGTTGTTGCCCAGCTGAGCCTCTGTGGTCTCGCCGATATCGATGTTGCCCGCGAGGATGGTTCGGCCGCACTCGTTGACGACATTGTCCACGATCTCCTTCTGGTTAATGATGTTTGCATCCGCCTTGTTTGCATCGACTGGAAGCGTTTGTCAACAATTCGTCCTAGAGTTTGCGCGTCTCGTATCATGAAATTGCATACCTAGAAGACCTGGACTGGCAGGGCCGTTGGGGCCTTGCGCGGCAAGAATGACACCTTGGGCCTGGGCCATCGCCAACATGGCGGCGGCGGCCAACGCTCTGATCATGGGAGAAGACATGGCTGTGAGAGGAGAAAAGTGGACCGAAAAGAACAGGTACACACAAGTCAAAATTGGATTAGTAGCGAAAGGAAGTTAGAAAAACAATGTGTCCAGCACCGCGTTGATGGAAGGGAAAGAAACGAAAGAGGTTTGGTTGTGGCCTCTCTCAAGAAAAGAACAGACCGGCTGGGAGTGTGGAAAGGAAGAGAAGGGAAGAAAAAACCAAAAAGAGATCGAACTCAAGGAAAGTGTGAGCGAGCGATCCAAACGGGAAGAGCACAGGGAATCCTACGTTTTACCCGATGTGCGAGGCCTATTAAGTTTTATACATGCCTGCTTCCCATTTCCTCTTTCTGGTCTTACCCCCTTTGGCGATGACAAGAGGAGTTCCTTCAAGGGTAGAGCTTGTTTCGACAAGGGGTCACAGACGTTGAGGATGGGAGGATGGACGATGGGGCTTGTTGGAAAGGATGAGAGCATGTTTGTGTAAGCGCTTCTCAGCTGGTGTTGAGCCGACGGGCAAGAGTGAGAGCCAGGTGGGAGAGAAGAAGCAACAGGACCGGGGGCAGGAGGGAGTGGAAGAGCCCCCCAGAGTGGACCACATGGGCATGAGAGCAACAGACTTTCAGGAACCGTGAACGTTGTGCCTGTGCCTTGTGCCTAAACTATCCAGTCTTTCTGCAGACTGCGGCTCTTCCTGCCCGTGTTTCCTCAAAGGTTCTGGGCAGGCTGGGTAAGGCAGGCGAGGGACCCCGGGCTAGCACAGATCCCCTCCGCGGCTCCGACGATCTTCTGGAACGGATGTCGTCGCGTGGGTGGAGATGTCAGGTGGGGACGGGGGCGTTACGCGGGTTATAGACTCATGGAGACTTCTGTGGAGTTGGAAGGGGGTTAATGGAGACTCTTGGAGGCTGCGCTCAAGTCTCGAGGTCGCCCATTCGAAGACAAGGACCAAGACCGAGTCTTCTCCGTGGGGGCATGCCTGTGTCGCCCAATGTCTGCGTCCTTGCTAGCCAAGCCTAGTGACTGGTCAAGGGGCGGATAGGGCAACGAGAGCGACAAGGGGGGCGACCATCCCGTCATGTCGGCCGGGGATGCATCGTTTATGGGCAGATGTTGAGCTGGGAGTCCAGACGAAGACGGGGCTGCAACCGCGTTTCAGGCTTTTGAAGATGGGCCATAATGGGTTATAACGCTGCGCCCACGAGAGAGTGGATGAGAAGGAGAGGGATCATTACCAGTCGCAATGGAGAAAAATTGAAGCACAGTCTGGATCCGTCCTTCTCCATCGTTTCCCCCCCTTTCTTCTCTCCATCATGACGGTCCAGAAGGTGTCGCGGCGGCGAACCTCCGATGGCAGCTTTTTGTTCCCGCCCGAAGGAAAGAAAAAGTTCAGACGGGCCCGCACTCTGAGACGAATTCGTAACGCACGGGAGTCCAATGACAGGTTTTTCTTGCGGCGGCGCTTCAGGCTTGAGCGTTCGAGATGATGATTGAGGGTGTATTTAAACTTGATGATGCTCCACGATATTCTTGTCTTCGGGAACAAACATGTTCGGTTGCCGGACCACTTCTCCCTTCTCTTGTCGTTGCAACCTGGGTGGGAGTCGAGAGGCTAGCTGATGTTGGGCGCCCTGTAGATCCGGGATTGGCGTCGGGAGGTCTCCCCCGACACTACTCTGCACAAGCTTTGTCAGCCCCGGATACCAGGCCGAAGAGGACGATCCTTAAGGGATTTCCTATTGTTTCCGGGCTTCGAGACGTGCTTCGGAATTAAGGTACAGCAACAGAGTTGAATTAGGGGCAAGCAATAAATTGAAGCGGGAGCTGCCATATTGAGGTGGGGAGAGTTAATCGGCCTAGTGTCACTCTTGTTGGAGCATGTCAGAGAGGTCTGTTCCAGGGCATTTCGTCCTTCGCAAGCAGTAACTTACTAAGCGTTACCAAGTTACAAGCGAAGCGAACTCGCATATCATGGCCGCTTCAGGGTTGCCCGGGCAAATGGGAAACGCTAGGTCCAGCACCACTACCACCCACAACCGTCGTCATCGCACGACTTTGAAACAAGCACCCGGCCACTGTTTGACCCATCCGACGATTGAGGAAGGGAATGTCCCGCTGTCTTGCCAATTGATGACTTGGTGGGAGACAAAGTTCAACGGCTCTGACTGGGGTAGAGGTTTAAATACCACGGGCCCGCACACTTAAAGACCAAGAATACCAACGCAGCGTCCCTGTCGTTGGACTGCCAAAAACTCTCGCTTACTTCCCCCTGAAAATGAGAGGGTTTCCACATCCAACTATCTTATGTGGACTGGGTCATGAAAGACTCTGGAGATGCTTTCTATGAGATATGGGGACTTTTGCGTGACTTGTGACTCCATAATTCCTGTCGCTCCTGCATACTGGCTTCTCCTTGCTATCAGTGCAGCACGTGGTCGATGCGAGCTATTATTGAGTGCACTCCTTACGATCCCTCCTACCTTACTTCAGTGCTCTCATCTCATTTGAGCCAACGGCTCATTTCTCTTGACATACGTGAACTGCTCAAAATCTGGAGAACTTCGTACTGAAGCTGACTGTAGACTTTGTTAAGCTGATTGAGAGATGAACATGCCACTCACTAATGAGACTGTTCAACCTCACTACGTCTTGGGACATTCTCATAGATATGGTGGCAGCATCTTGCGCATCAAACAATGGTAAGGAGGAAATGCGTTTTACAAGCTTCGCATGCCTAATCTGGGATTCGCTCTGAGCAAGAAAAGTCGAGAGTCAATGCAGTCACGCTTCCAGCTTGCAGGTGTCGCCGAGGTCCCGTGCATGGATGATCGTGGCCCGAATTATCCACGGACCAGAAACAACTTTTGGTGCTCGCCATTTCTATCCAGAGAAAGAAGGAGTTGTGTACGGGTTGCCCGATGGGATGAATCTTATTTCCCTTTTGGCATATGTCTCTTTTCTCTCAATTCGCCGGCAACAAACCAGGCGTAGAAGGGCTGGGTTATGGATACAAGATAAACATGCAGACACATTCGAATTACTAGAGACCGAACGAGATTCGAGATTCCCATATTTTAAAACAAGAAAAGAGGTAGACATTGAAATATTGGTAACATGTCTCTTCCCCGAGCCCCAGTAAGGTAGGTTGGAATAGCCAGACTACTGGGGTGAGCTTTCCCAAATCTGCACTATTCGAACCGGAGTTTGCAAACTTCAACAACCGTTACTCCACATGGATGACTAGAGCGTGCGTCTTCATTGTTAATTTTAACAAGATATTCTATGCGCAATGAAACCGTTTGTTAGATGAAAAAGATGAAAAAGTTTTGCTTCACATAAAGTAGTGCGGACTGGAAGTTCTATGGAATTGCGTGCAACGTGAAGTATGCAAACGTGGTCTGGCCGCTTAGATAGAATCAGATACAGTCAGGAGTGTAAGTTACATCTTTACTATTACAAGACTCTGTATTTATATATCAGGCTCGACTTTCTAGATCCGGGGCAAGGAGACAACACAACGTCTAGTCTTCTACAGCCATTACATCAACTCTAGAGTCTCCAACTTGATACCTCTCTTCTTGTTGGCATCTACGGACATCCTCGGGTCAGTAACGCTAATATTTCCATCAATTCTGTTCTGGATCACAAAGGGCGGCAAAAAAGGGTCTGTCGAAGCCACCTCTTCCCATTCAGTAGGTAATGATCCGAGTCTCGAATCACTCTTCAATAGCTCCCTTGTCTCGGTGTTTATGAAGTAAGGCATCGCCCATCCTTTGATGACGGGAAGCGTGTCTTTCCATGGTGGCTCCAGAGGCGGCTTCAAGGCCTCGCCAAGCATCAGTCCATGAACGAAACATGGTCCAATGACCTCATATCGATCGAGATCTCCAGGCCGTATAATCATTGGGAGGTCACATCCAAGAAGCACAGCAACTTGATCACCTAGCTCCAGAGGTTAATTCCACATGATAGAAAGTACTTAGTTTCCTGAGAGGAAGGTCTTGAGATGGAGGGGACTCGCCTTCTTGCAGGCCTCTCGCAGAGACACCCATATACCCTTCCGTGGTAACAAAGAGACACTCGTTCGCGAAGAAGCAATCTCTAAATTCCCGTGCTACTTCACCATCAAGTTCGGCGTTAGAGAATGTCGACGTCAATAACTCACGAAGCCGTTGGATGGATGGAAGTGAATTATCGCCTAGTGCTCGGTCGCTAGTCCTCCATCGCACAAGTACTTCGACATAAGCATCCACGGAAGGTCCTCCCAAGACATACATATCGTTCTCAAGATCTTTCGGCGCCCAATCTAGTATTTCCTCCAAGTTTTGTGCAAATGAACCATTCAAGTCATCACTGAAACGACAAATTGTTGCCATGCGCCTTCCAGTGACTTGTAGCAAGTTATCGGGCTCTACAAGCTTCGCGACAGCACTGGAGCGCGCAGAAGCATAGAATCTTCGAACGCTTAAATGCCCAACATTTGCACCTTCGACTGGTTCCGCCAAGTTCGGTACCTATGACGGACATCCCTCACGCCGCGTCGCGATACTGCAGTGGTTAAGCATATTCAACTTCTGATACGTATTCATTTCAGCCAAGACGAGCTGCTCGTACGTCTTCCAGATAGGTATTGAATAGTCCACCTCAATTCTGCTTGAAATCCTTGGATCGAGCAGACTTAGAATTCCATATACCTTGTCATGAGGATCAGGGCATCTTTGGTCCCGCGCCCAGAGCAAGAGGTGCTCACACGAAGCCAGCGGCGGTGCCATCAAGCCTCGCGCATACGAAAAGAGGCGGGCCCGGATGCAATCCGGCAACAAGCCTGTTTTCTGTCGGAGAACCAGCAGCAACTTCCGTACGTCGACCCAGGAGATGGTGTTCTTGCCGCATTGGAGCACTACCTGGTCGTTCGAGAGAGCGTCCTGTAGACTCCAGACACTCTTAAACCATTCTCGGTCCAGTAGCGACGATATGGACTTCCAATCCCTAGGGGTCCAGGGCGGCACAACGTCGTCTCGCCACCAGTTCGGCTTCTCGGCACCCGGGGCATCTCCCCATCGGTGAGAGGTTACGTATTCTACCTGCTTACTGAAATGCTTCAAGGTCTCCAGTGCGTGTTTGCTGTCCTCGGCCTCGGGGCCTAACCAGATTATCACCTTCTCAGAAAGAGAGTAGATCTCCTGCTTAAGCCTTTGGACACGCTCTTTAGTCATGTCTGGGTCGATACAGATTTCCTCGATCCATAATGTGCGCGACTGACCAGGACGTCTCAAATTTTTCAGGAATGTTGCTATACTTTTGCGAATTGGTGTCTCGTACTTCTTAAAGTCGGGACTGCGAAGGCCGCGAATCGTGATATGTTCTTCGCCGTCCGCCGTCTCCAGAGGACAGATCAAGGCTTCATATCGTTGTGCTTCCCACTCGAAGGTGTCTCTGACCGAATGCTCCTTGACTTTGTACTTTAGTTTACACTCAGGATTCGGGTGTTTCCAAGAATTAGGGATCCCCGAGTGGCGTGGGCTCATGAACAGGTATCGGCCTTTCAACTTCCGATCTACTGTCCAGCCGTCCGGGAGAGTCTTCTGTAATTCGCTGAGAGATTCCCTCTCATCTTTGAATGCTTTCTTTGGCGCGAGACGAGAACTTATGACCATGCAATCCGGGGGGTTTTGCTTATCGATCGGCTGTAAGCGAACCAGCTTAAAGGTAATCGAGTCACCAAAAGTGCTTTGGAGCTCGGCATATGCTTTTGAAGCCATCATAAGCAACCATATAAAACTAGTCCGCGTATGAAAGTTGGTTTCTCTGGATGGTATGAAGAGAAAGGGCAGCTCTATCGAGCACCTTGGAACAGCACAAAATCGATGTATTCCAGAGACGAATGTAATCAAATGACTTGAAGCTGATGGGGTGCGAGGAGGAAAGCACCTCTTTTTGCTTATAAAAATGGCATAAAAAACTGAATACCAGGCCAGAGCCGAGCACTCAACATGGACGACAACCACCGGTACCAACATCTTTTAAATATCAGGGCGTCGTCCCCTTGATCTGCAAGGTTGACAGATTGCAAGGATTCGTAAGCGCTTGGCAGAGCAGTTTATATCTGTTCATCGTTCTTTGCTTGTTTGCCTGTCACGCTTTGTCATTGATGAAAAGTCGTTTACCGCCGGTTCCGCCTTCAAGGGTATCAAAGGGCGCCTGCCACATCACGGGGTTCATTGAAAACCTGTCAGAAAATCGATATGAAAGACTGCCTTGTTGAACTCTGTGAAACATCAATCCCGAATAATGGTAAGCAAGAACGAAGTGACATCGCCGCTTTCTAATTTTGCTGAGAACCCGAACAGTTGCCATGGGTGAGACGAAGAATACCAGTCTGGTCACCGAGGCTCAGCCGAAGAGGCGGTGCAATATCTTGTAAACTGGAGTCTAATAACCAAGACATTGTTCATCAGACCATCATCACCATCATGATGTTCCACAGCGGGCGTCTTGGCTTTCAAGCCTCTCACAATCTTCATTAGCCGGTAATGAATGAAATATGCAGACTCAAAATACTTCGCTGACATATCATACGTTTGGGGGGTGTCCGAGATCTCACCGCTTCAGGGGCCAGACTCTCCCATCTCCTCTAGGCTCCTAGCCATTGCAGATCAACACCACATCGCAATTCAACTCAACCTCGCATTTAAATCTATCCAGACGCTACCTGCTTAAAATACTTACACCAACCCATCCCACCTCACAACTTCGCCTTCCCCCCACTCTCAGCCTGACTCCTGCCAACAAGCTCCCAAGCAAACTCCGCCAACGGGCCCCTCGTAACAGCAAACCTCTTGGCCTGCTCGCTGCTCGCCTGCCCCTGCGCCGCCCTCGCCGCGATGCCCTGACACACGCCCGCCAGCCGGAACAGGCTAAACGCCGCGCCCCACGACAGCTCCGCCGCGGGCGTCCACCCGCCGCCCACGGGCGAACCCGCGGGGGCCTGCGCCGCCTCGGCCGTGTACCACCCGACAATCTCCTCGATTGTCGGCAGACCCGGGGTAGCGCCGGGGAGGAAGCCGTCGTTGGCGTAGAGGCCGCTTCCCGCGCGCGAGGCGGTGAAGTAAGGGTGGAGGAAGTTGCAGAGGTCGGAGAGGGGGTGGCCTACGGTGGACATTTCCCAGCTGAGGTTGTCGTCAGTTTCTCATCACGGATTGCATAACCAGAACAGAGGAGGGAAGAAGAGAAAAGTGAAAGGGATAGGGAAAGGGGGAACGTACTCCAAGATACCAATGACCCTCGGCTCCGTCTTGTGAAAAACGAGATTATCAATCTTGTAATCCCCATGAATCAACGTGCCCCGATCCTTGGGCTGCCGGCTCTTATCGCTAAAAAACGCAACCATCTCCCCAAAGTGCGGCAAATCCCCAACCTTTTCCCCCGTCTCCAGATCCACCGCCGCCGCCTGGCTCTTGCAAATCGTAGTCCACGTCTGGATCTGCCGATCGTAGAACCCGCTCTTCTTGCCAAACGTCTGCAGGCCGACGTCCTCGGGCGCGACCCGGTGCAACTTCGCCAGCGTCAGCGTCGCCGCCTTCCACAGCGCCTTGCGCTCCTCGGGCGAGGCGACCTCGGGCATGGCCGCGTCCTCGAGGATGCGCCCGTCGAGGAACTCCATTATGTAGAACGCGGTGCCGACGACCGACTCGTCCTCGCAGAGGCAGTAGGCCTTGGGGACCGGCACGTCGGTGGGCTCGAGGGCGTGGATTATGCGATGCTCCCGCTCCACCTTGTGCGCGGCCTTGGAGAGGAGCTTTCCGGGGGGCTTCTTGCGCATCACGAAGCGCTTGTTCGTCGCATCGGTGAGTTGGTATGTCGGATTCGACTGGCCAAAGCCAAACTGTAATGCGTGGGAAAAGGCCAATGTCAGTCGAGAAAAGAAACGTTCCTTCAAGCCACGGGCAAAGTAAAGAACAAATGCATTGAAGAGGCAATGCTGGCAGGGGAGGCGGGCTGTAGACGTACCTGTTTAATCTCCAATGGCGTCTTGATCTGCGGTACATTCTTCTCGATATATCGTTCCAGCGCCTGCTGGTCGATTGGGTGTCGCACGCGTCCTGCCATCTTGTCCTGTGCCGTCCTTGGAGTGCGGAAAGACTGGGTTCTGAGCTCAAGGGTCGTGACCGCTGCTGATTTCCAGTCGAGTATCGCGGATTGTAGTCGCAATTGGCCAAAATAGTACAGGTTCTCACTTCGTAGGGATACTTGTCGGATTGAACCGGCTGCCGATGAAGATATGTAGTCGGTCGAGGTCGTTGCAGGTCCGCCGCTGCCGTCAAAGTTCTCGGTCGGTCGGAGAGAGGTGATTTCGGGGTACAATATTAAGGTACCACACACCTAGGCTGGCCGGCGCATCTCTGGTTCGGACCTTTGCCAGCCTCGGTTCGTCCCCCAGTGACGTTTTAGCGGGCACGCGGGGGTGAGCCGGGGCCTGGAATGCTATCCAAAACTCCATACAAGGTGGGCGGCCGAGAGAGCAATCCGATTGACTCCCCCAAAGTTGCCCCCCAACCAGCACAAAGATGCCGAGGTCCACCGGCCTAAGGAGCTGCAGAGCTGTCTTAGCTTTAGGACTGTCTAGTCTCCAGAGCGGGGGAGACGGACGCACTTGGGGAACCTGCACCCGACCCAGCCCAGGGTCTCCTTCACAGATGGTCCTTGGGATGCAACAGAATGCGGAGGTGGAGGCCGGCCTCGATAGCCGCACCCGACCGAGCCAGACATCCAATCTGAGCTGTTGAAGCCAGCCATTCCGTTCCTTCATGCATGGCCCTGATCGAGGATCCGTCGCCTCGTCCCCTTCATTTGCTGGCCCAAAAGCCTCGTTCCTGTGCTAAATGATCCATCTTGTAGGTACCTTACTTTGGATAGAAGCCCATCCTAGTTCCGAGTCCCTCCTTCACATAGATGGGCAATGTAAATCGTGGACAACATCCTCGTGGTCTCACTTTCAATGGCACGTATTTGCAGTAATAAGACTAAAAGGTATAAATTGCTTAAAAAGTGAGGGAAAAAAAGGTCGTTAAATCCGTGTTTCTCTCCATACATACGAATCCGGCGACGGATTTTGCCAGGAAACCCAGTCTATCTCCATCAATCCAGCAAGTAAGAAGTGGTGAGGCAGACAAATATAAGCGTAGATATCATCTTCAATCATTCTCTTGTTCCCGTACAACAAACTCGCGGCACACCACTGACTGGCGGCTTTTCGTTTTGGGTTTTTCTTTTCTCTTCGTTTCAACTCCCTGCTGAATCACGAAATATAAAATAAAAAAAAAGGAAGCCGTTGGTAGCCAGACCATCTGCCCAATTCCCACACTACCGACCATTCCCCAAGAAGAAGAATCCCTCGTCCAGGAAAAGAATTGTAACACGAAGTGAAGTCAAATCAAAAACAACAAGGAGAAGGGGGTAATCGAGTAAACACAAGAGGGGTATCCGTCGTTTCGAGTCGTCCATGCATTCTTCCCTCCCATTTCCCTTGCGGCCACCCGTCTAAACGGGCGCCATGCTGTTGCCAGTCGATAATGTGTATTAGCCGTGAAAACGAAAAAATAAAGGCGCAATAAAAAAAAGCCGATGACGACCGGAATGGCATCGGCTAGACCTGGCAGCCAGAGAGCAACGAGAGTCCTGTGTACCGGCCCGCATGCTGCATATAAAGACATTTGGAAAACTCCAGCCCCTATAGACACATCCCGTACAAGTTCCCTTCTCTCCTTTGTAACCCCAATTCGAAAGAGTGGAGATGGCTGCAAGTCGTCTCTGCAGACGGTCGTGACTTCGTGATCGAAATGCGCGACAAAACATAATAGTATGGCTGCGGATCAAGACTCGTCATCCTCCTCCTCGTCCTCTTCAGGAGTCTCGGATGCTTTCTTGGCCTTCTTGTTCGAGCTGGAGTCGTCGGCTTCCGATTTCCTCTTGGAGCCGGCTTTGGACTCGACAACGTCCTCGGGACCCTCGCCAGAACCACCACCCTTCTCGCGCTCAATGGCGGCAACCTCCTCAGCAGTGAGGAAACGGCCTCCAGGTCCGCGAGGTCGGCGCATAGCATGGTTGTGTCTTGACTCGTGAAGGTATGGCTTGCGGCCCTTGGACGTCAGACGCAGCTGCTCCTCCAACTTTTGGCGTGCAACACGACGCTTGAGAATGCGATGGAACTGCTTAGCATTGACGTAGAGGGGCGATTCTTCGACGCCACCGGCCGGCATCTCGGGGGATTGCGGGTGAGGCATAGCTTGAGCCTGAGCCATTTGCGGTGGCGCAACACCAGGTCGCGCGCCGACATGATTCATCATGCCCTGCGCAGTAGGCACGCCGGGGCTGGTGACCTGACTGAGGCGTCTCTGGCCCGGTAACTGCGAAACGTTGTTCATCTGGGTGGGTGATCTAGGATCGCGACTCTCCTTCTTCGCTCCGCCCATTCGCGGCGATGTTTGGGGCAAACTGGGGTCCGACTGCATGTAAGGATAGTTGGATCCCGAAGCAGCTGCAGTTGCCGCCATGGCGGCGGCTTGGATTTGAGGCATGCCATAATGCATTCCCTGCTGGGGGACGTTGTACTGTGGCTGGTACATGTTGTGTCCCTGTTGTTGAGAGGGTGATTGCTGTTGAGACAGGATAGGTGACGTCTGTACGCCGTGAGGAGAGGTGATGTTGTTTCCTGTGGTGGAGTTGGTGTATCCGGAGTGGGCGTTTTGAGGTTGTTGAGGATATTGTGCGTATTCCATCATACTGGGGTTAAGCTTGTTCGAGGGATGATCAAGCTGTGCAATGAAGGCGATTGTCTTCGTCGCGTAGAGTATCGGAACCAATAAGAAGCCAGCTACGTGGTGTAGCTTGACAGCCGCTTTGGCGCGGTTGAGAAAAACGTGACCGTGGGAAGGGGGAAAAAAGGGTATCACGGCTATGGGTCGCGAGTGACGAATGAGTTGCGACGAAAGCTGCCTTTCTCGTGAGGAGTGAGCTTTAAAATGACTGGGACGGCCCGTCTGCTTGGGTTGAGTTGGGCACACGGATTGGGAGCCGGCGGTGTCCTAGGGTCCTTTTTCCAGTGTATTGGGAGCGGAGGGGCTCAATCTATTGGTGATGCGTGGATGAGCTGGCAGTGGTGCGCGACGCAAGTGGCCGACCACGGCATATGCGGGCTGATGTAGTCGCGGGGCGGACGAGGTGGGTGGCTGAGCCTGGGGTCAGAATGACAGCCACGTGAGAGCGGCGAGAGTGTGTGGGTTCGACAGAGGCGGGCAGGTATGTCGAGGCTGCTACCGTACAAGGCGGAGGCGAGGCGGCGTCGGTTCTGTTGCTTCTAGCCGATCAAGGGCTCCTTGGTCCGGGCTGGTCCTGGGTTGGTCTACCGGCTGCACAGCGGGAGCGGGTAGGGCAAGAGTCGGCTTGTCCTTGTTCTTTTGGACGAAACAGGTCGGTGCCTTGAGTTCTCCAGAAATTAGAGACCGTTTAATCCTTTTCCACTTCGCGTCGTTAGATCTGTCCAACCAAGAATGTTAGTTCTCCTGTATATAAGCCAGAGCTCGGGATGATGCGACAAAGACAAGCAGATGGGGTGGGGTTCATGTTCCTCTCCTGGCGTCTCGGGCCACCACTTGATGCGCTGGCAGACCTCGCATGCATGACGGAATATGCAGAGACAAGGCCCACCATGCCAACCTACGCGGCGACACTTCCCCTTGATGCGGTTATGGTGGCGGCGCAGAGCCAAAAGACAGTCCGAGCTGCGTTGACAGAGCCCGTGCTTGCACCGGTGGAGGGGAAGGGGTGCCTGTACAGGGCGCTGTCGTGTGTCGCTGCCACAAGCTAAGCCAAGCTCACTGAGCGCTTCGCAACAACGTCCATTCCACTGGGAGTGCACGTCGATGTGGTGGTAGTGGCTGGCATGAGAAACCTTTCCAATGCGCTGCTGCTGCTGCTGCTGCTGCTGCTGCTGCTGTAGCTGCTGCGTCGATATGCCGCCGAAGGGGTGCTTCGAGAAGGCGTAGAAGGCTTGATGCGCCGATGCACTCCTCTGTGCGAAGCACAACAGTCGAGACAGCGTAACGTCAGAGGATGAGGTAGTGAAGACTCTCCCCTAAGGGTGACGCGATGGCCCGCAGATGACAGGAAAGAGACAAACTGACGTGGACGTGGTGAAGGGGAGGGGGAGCACCGAGGGATGGATGGTTACACCTCCGGGGAGCACGGGAAGAGTACGAAGGCTGGAGATGCTGAGGACAATGTGATAATGAAGAAAGTACAATAAACGTACCACGAAAGTTGGAGATCTGGGTGTAATCGCCGATGAAAGCGATGTGCTGTGAAGGAGGTGTGAATGTTATGCGCCCTGCTCAAGTCAGTAAGCATGTGTTGTCCGTCCCGGTTTCAAAGGACAACAGGCGCACACAAATCGTGTGTGTGAGGAATTGGGAGAAAAGAAAAGACAACAGCCAGAAGAGGATCCGAACTGGTTCTACTCCAAGAATTCGTCAAGTCTTCTCCCTCTTCCACTTGGCAATGCCAGATAGATAGGTAGCTCGACATATGAAGCGCCAAATTTGACAGAGAAGCCAAACTCGGATAGCGTACAAAATAGAAATGACCAGACGGGATAGGGAAGGAAGATGGCGGCCGTCGTCAGGGACAAGGAAGCGCGCGTACAAGGCTGGACAGGAGGGGCGCCAAAGGACTTGAGTCGAGTGGCATGCGAAACGTACCTGGTTGGCTGAATTTTTGGCTTTGGGGGTGAAATTCTCGGGGATTGGCTCGTGGTCTAAGTCGAGACGAAGCTTTCTGATAGGCTTTTGACTCGAGTGTCACGATATGAGCTTGAAATCGCCTCCGAAGAAGCTATGACGCGTTGCGCGATAATATGTTTGGCGGGAGGGCGAAAGTGCGACGCGGTTGGGCTGAGTGGCCTTTTGCTGTGGTCGCGGTGCGCTGTGCTGATGCGATGCGATGCGTGCGGTCCGGAGCGCTGCGGTCAAACAGGCAGAGACGGGAAAAGATGCTCTTTTCCGCAGGTTGCTTCAGTCACCTGATGGGCGAGCAGTTGGTATTGCTACTGGTGTTTGGGCCAATAGACAAGATGCTTGGTCGCAGAATAGCGAGAAGATCAAAGTCGACGATGATAGGACCTCTCTGGGGGGATTCCAAGTCGCGAACAATTCACGACTGTTGGGTGAGTGGTGAGTGGTGAAATGTGAGTGGTGGTGTCAGGTCGGGGGAGACGTTTGGAGAGTTGAGGGAGGGACGTGAGTGGTCGCAAGAAAAAACCGAGCTGATTTGCTGGGTTTTGTGGGAGGGCGGGTTTTTTCTGGCTTTTGGCTCGTTGGATTCGCTGGAGCTTTTCCTTTTGGCGAACCGGGGCTCTTTGGCACTTTGTACGCCTGTTTCGGAGGGTCGAGAGGGTCGAGAGGGAAAAAAAACCAAGCAAAAGGTGCGTGGATCCTAAAGACACGAGTGTGAGTGTGTGGCGTCGGCAGAAGATGGGTCACCTCTTTTTTTTTCTCTTGCTGGGATCAGGTGGGCCTAAGGCTGCGAAGAGAAAAAGGGGGTGTGTTTAACAGAAACTGCGGTGGGAAAGACGGAAGGAGGGGAAGGGAAAGGGAAAAAGGCCAGGGTAAGGAAGGTGAGGAGGGCAAGGCAGCCAGGCAGAAGAGGGGTAGGGGGGTGGGAAGTGGGAAGGGGGTATGGTTTGCTGACGTTGACGTCGCAGTGAGGGAAGGAAGGAGCAAAGCAGACACGGGCAGACTGGGAAGGGGTAAGAGCGGGAAGTGAAGTCCTGGGTAAGGCCGCACCGTGGTACTCCGAAGTGGTGGTGGTGGTGGTGGTGGTGGTGGTGGTGCAACTTACAGCAATGGAAGGCACGCACACACGCCCCCTCTCGCGTTGAGGTGTAATTATCTTCTTTCCACTTTCTCAGGACGTCGTCGCCAGTGCGAATGCACCACGCCAGACAGAAAGTCGGGCTGGCAATAAAAGTGGCAGAGTCGGTAGGCAGGGCCGGGCAGGGCAATGTTGCGTCACTGCTTTTCTTTCTTTCGTTCTCGATTTGAGTCGTCGAACTCTGCGTTGTCTGTCTTATTCTTGGGTTGCCTTCCCACCACGGTCTTCTGGCGGTGTGTGTAAGTGACCGTGAGGTGTGTAGAAGGAGGCAGGAAAGAGAAGGTGTGCGCGGACGTTGTGCTCAGTGATGCGTTGCGTTGCCGCTGACGGCTTGCTTGTTTGCCTGCCTGCCTGTCTGCCTGTCGCGCTATGGTTCCCCCTCACTGTCACTTGAAGACCTTTTCTGCTTTTCTTCACGTCTGCTCTTTGGCGATTCTTCGCGCGCGTCTCTTTGCAGCTTTGCTGAGATGTCGTCCGCACAACACGCCCTGGTTTCAAGATCGATAGAGTGCCAAAATGCGGAGCGGATAGGCTTAGCTGATGATTGGCGACCGATTGATATGATGGTCGAGGATCCAATGGAATGACACCAGCTTGGGCAACCCTGGTGTCTGTTTCCAAGTGCTGTTGAGGGACGGAAGCTGATTGAATGATTCGACTCGCTCGCTCTCTTGCTGCTTGCTCACTCTCTGTCTCGTTCTCTGTCTTCCCGCCGTCTCTTTTTTTCTGCCTTCGCACCTTGTCACGTTTGGGTGGGCCGCAAAGGATTGATTGGTTGGGCCGGAGGGAGGAGGTGGAAGACGAGGGAGAATTCTGGGCCATGATTTGAGGGGCGGGACCATTAACCCTTTAACATCTCTTACTGGCTGAATAAGCGGGTCTAGGTGGGGCCCTGGATGTGGCTGGCGTTGCTGGCTTCGCTTCTGATTTGCTGTCATGACGTGATCTCTGAGCTGGGTCTGCTATGCTCACACCTCTTTTTCTCCGACAGAGGGGAAGGAGGGGTGCGCTCTGGATGGAACTGTGGGAAGGAGTGGGTCTTTCCAGTAAGGCATTCAGTCATTATTTTCCCATTCTCCCGTCGCTCCTTGTCGAATTTCCTGGCCTGTTTTTTTTTTTTTTTTTTCCTTAATTCAAATGCAAGAAAGTCAGGTGCAGAAGTAATTACCTCCCATCTTCCTAGGAAGGTACGACTGAGGATTGACGTTCCTCCAGTTGACAATTGTCGTCCCGAACATCTCAATTGTTCTCAACAAGTTAGCATCTTCCTGCGTGTTTTTGACAGTGTCTGCTCAGAAGAAGTTTCCATTCCTCAACATGGCTCGTCGTCTTCCGTTCATGGCGGGCTTTCTTTTCCTTCTAGCCTTCTAGGTTCCTCCGAGCGCTCAGCGTCTGCCTGTCAACCTCTTTGATTTTCTGCCCTGGTCCTCTAACTCTCGACTTTTCCGCATGGGGCAAAGTCTCCATCTGCCACGTTACTTCAGCACTTCCCTCTTTTAAAGCAAGGCTGCACACACCAGCGACGACAGAAAACATGAGACGAGGAGGGACTCATCGCACCGCTGTCGCTCAATGCCCATCCCGACCTCCCGGCAGGATGACCACTTTTGGTCCATGCTGACCCAAGCTCCAAGCTCCAACACGACACGCGATATGCGGTGCAGCGGTGCAGATAGACAGACTGCACTCATTATTCTCCCGAAGCTCCAAGCTCTAGAGCTATTGAGGCGGACCCTACTGCACTGTACCTTGGGCTACCTCACCACGCCTCTCGTCCGTGTCTTCCCATTTTCTCAGCCGTCGTTTCATAGCACGGCAGCGGTATGCGCGTACGGTATGGGTGACGCAACAAACCAGCCGGTCAGCGTCGGCACTGAAGCGAAAACCTGATCCATCATCCAACACTCCGAGGAATGAAGCCGATCGACAGCTTGTGAGCTGGCACATAGCAAGGCCTAAATTTAGTGACCGACGATTCATCCGGGCTGCGCATCTTCTGTCTTCCGCCTTCGACACTGCCAGGCTGCCTCATTTTCCTCGCCGCGACGGGTGTCGGGAGTGGGACACGGACAGTGCGAGCAAGGGGCACTTGAGCGTAGAGCAAGAGAAAGAAAAAAAAAAGGAAGAGGCGGTGACGGCTATTCTACTCTGCCCAGTGCCGCCAACTATTCTGCTAGCCTCCCTCGGCTGTTGGCTTTGGAACGGTGAGGGGCAAAAGAAGGTCAGGTTGGCGAGCGACGGGGAGGCTGGGAACGAGACGTCCTGACGACTCGGTTCATTCGGATTGAAATCCCCAATGGCACAGATACTGCTGCCGGATGTGATATTGTTTCCAATATCTGGTTGCATACCCAGGGTAAAAGCCTCAATCTGAGCATTCTTGCCAGCGCTTAATTATCACAGGACGGTTACGGTACTCTCATTTCAAACGACCGGGTAGAATTCCGAATCACTGTTTCCGAGTTTCATGGACCACGGCAAGATCACCAGCTGTTGGTACGAAATACATACCTACGGACACTGCTGGTGGTCCCGATGCGGACTGACGGTTTGCGCTGGTTGGTAGCTTGCCAGGGGATGGGCTCGGAGGCTGGAGCTCACACTGTCGATCGGTTGGGTTGGACTGGGCACTCCGTACACAGTATTGGTACGGGCTGGGATGGTCCCCTGCAACTGTGACGCGACTGTGTGTCTCCGGGTTTCCTGTCCCAGCTCCGTCCGCGCCGCATCACACACCTTTCTTCTTTTCACGGTTTGGGACAGCACGGCGAGATATTGCGAGGGCCCACCTTCAGCCACTTCAGCCCCACGTGACACACACCGCATAATGTTCTGACGAAATATTCTTATGGCTCTGAATTTCTGAAGCAGCGCTTCCCTGACGAGCCGCTGTGCTCTGCAGGTACGTACCCGCATCCTGCGCTGCCTCTCACGGACTCCTCGCGTCCCTCACAGGCTCCCACCCTCCTCGAGCAACTCGAGCGGGGGAACTTTGGGTGGCGCCCATGGAAGCTCAGAAGGCGGAAGACGGAAGGTGGTGCACCCATTCACAGCTCTACAGTATTCGTATGGATACAGACAATTTGCTTCAGTTCCCAAGGCCTTGGAACAAAGTAGGCAATGGCATGGAAGAAAAAGCTACATATCGCAAGCACGACTATCGAAAAGGCACCAGTCTCAAAGCTTGCCGACAACGGACTACCGTACGGATACACAGCACAGCATACGCGGTTTAGCCCGTGTTTTCGTACCGCATCCAGTGCGAGGTCTCCGTCCCGAGTGCTTCGGAGTCACGAAACCTGCATCCGGCCGCTCGGAGATAGCTACTTACAGAACTCTGACTGCAGCAAGGACATGCAGCCTGGGTATCAAAGGCTTGGTGTCTCACGCGCTGACAGTCGCAGTGGGGTTGCCCGGGCGCATCGGTCGTTGCATTCGCTCAAGCAGCGGCTGCAAGTTAACAATAACGCGGGGAGTGAGTCTGAGAGACTGTACCTAGTCTGTGGCAGCTGGACAGACTGCAGAGTACGGAGCACGAATAGGTACAGTAGTACCGATATAGCCTGATAGGCAGACATCTGCTCACTCCTCATGTCTGCCCCGTGCTTGGAATGATGCGCGAGGTCAGGTGCGCAGCTCCAGCAAGCGGCCGAAGTGAATCCGCCCACGCTGATGATCCGTCGTGGGCTGAGAGCCGAAAAGTTGGAACGTCGCAACAGATCTCAACCACCTGTCTCTAGACGAAGAGCCTCCGCCTCGTCCTCGCACACATCGAGTAGCGGGCGAACGTCGCGACGCGACAATGATTGGACCAGAATTCGCCTCGAACGGATTACTTGAGTGGTTGGAAACACATCATTTCTGCAGCTGCCTAGTGGTCAGCTGTCTCTCTTGCACGATTCGAGTGGACGAGAAAGCGTCACGCCTCTTCCAGGGTACACAGACATTGAGCCAGTCTGAGGGCAAAAGACCAGGGCTGAGGGGCACACCGCACGCTGCCTACGCTAATCTGCCACTCCCGTCGCCCGGCATTTACTATCAACGTCTATCAATGCTCGATCTGGCGTGACAGGCTGACAACATCTCGGACGAGGGCCACCCTCAGTCTGGGAACGCCGAGCCTCCTTGATGTTACAGCTATCTAGGCCAACGTTCTGGAGGCACAACTCCTTGCACTCCATGTGTTGCTTCATCCTCACCCCATGTTGATCCATCTGGAGCAGTCACGAACTGATACAGGAATCAGAGGCGCTTCGGACCCGTGCGGTCACTGCGGTCTAGACTCTAACTGGAACCGAGCTTTGACATGGCTCACTTCCCAGTGCTCACTCATCACGCTGGCGGTTATGCGACCCTGGTATCCGTACTTTCGTACAGATACATACCACCCAACGTCGCCTTGTCGCCTTGTCAGCTCCAGTCGTATGTTTACGTTGGGTTCAGTTCTGGCTTTCTGCCTGAAGCGCCTAATTAGCCATCGCCCAGCAGCAACACGATCCGCCAACCAAGTTATTCCCATTGATCCGGCAGAAGAGATATGTGCTACCATCCATAGCTGAAGTTGGGGGATGGTCAACGTCTCACTTTCATGACCGAAGGACAGAAACGTGTATCTGTACGCCTCTGAGAGAGACCGCGGGCAGCTTGTTCTTTCCGCACGTTCTCGGACAAAAGTCAAGAAAACAGCGTTTGTCAATAAGTTTAGGAGAGAATCCGTGTCTTGCTTCCAAAGCGCAGAAAGCGCAGGAGCACAGGACACAGACGTTCCGCACGGAGGACATCTGATGTCTACTGAATTCTATCTTGATACGTCTATTGCGCAATCCCGTCCCACGGCGCTCCCGCACGTCGTGCGATCGACATATGGCCCATCTTATTTTGTCACCAGGCTACAGTCTCCTTCGGCCTTCGCAGGCTCTGAATGACATGAATAGTACAGATATTGGAACTCATGATTACAGTCAAGTTTTCGCCAGACGCGGCTCAAAATCAGTAGCACTGTCAGACATTCAAGACTTACGCGCCCGTACTATTTGTTCCATTTCCCGATTCTGCAATCAGCTACCCCTCCACCCCGGTCGCAAGAAGGGATCTCCCGCATCTCTCTCGCGACGAATGAGGGCCGTTTTCTCGACTTCTGCTTTCCTATTCGGCGCATCTCAAACCACTCTATCCTCAAAAGCTTGCACCGCGCCACGATCCCTTACCCCCCCTCTCTCACAGTTTACTCGTCCACTGCGCTAACAACCCGGCTGTAGTGGATGGATGTCTCTTGTTCCTGGCGCTTGAACTGTGAATGACGCGGGGCGTCCCCAAGTAAGACTGACGCGATCATCAACTAGGTGGTGAACGAGTGCGTCGACGCGTCGAATGTCAAGGTTTCTATGAAGCCTGTAGTCACGCTTTTTTTTCCGCGGCCCGTTGCACGTGAGGGTTGACGCTGCCGTTCGGCTTTACCGGATGCGCCGTAGAAGCTTGCTTTCGCGGATAGTTTACGAATGTCTGCGGCGCTTGCGATGGGCCATGCTGCCCCCGTTGAATGGCTGCCAGCTGATATCACGGGATACCACAGTGGCTGGCTATATCTTGTTCTAAGCCTCCGGGTGCCTTGCATTCGGTCCATTTCTCGGTTATCCACCTTGGACGCCTACTACTGTGATTGTGAGAGGTTTCGGATCGCAGATGGACATTGAGACGTTTAGTTGGACGACGTCGACTAAGCTCCTAGGGATTGCCGCCGTCTCGTGATCCGTAAGGTCGTACTCTTTCATCATACAAGCTTTTGTTTGCCAGGTCTTCTTTGCGAATCAAGGTCCGGCGATCGGGCTGCCGCTGCCAAGTTCTGATTTTCTACAGCGGGCCCGGGCTTCGCGCCGATAGGCGACTGGGTTTCCGTGCACCCGGGCTGTTCCAATGACTTTACGGGCACGGTCGACCGGTCACTTGGCTGGCTTTCCTATCCAAGTTTCTGACGATCTCCAAAATTCACAATTTCCTTCTATCGCTTTGGCGTCGATTCCAAGCCACGACTGTCAGTCAGTAATTGAGGCAGTTGTTATGACAAAAATGAGCCGAACGCAAAAGATTTCCGAAACCGAGAATCGAACTCGGGGCTATGCCTAACCTCTCGTAGAGATGAGAGGGCATCATGTTGGCCACTACACCATATCGGATGTTGATGATAATGTTGAACAAATAGAGCAATAAGCATGGTGAGCAACATGACTGGAGAAGGCCCTGTTGGATGTGGAGATGTCTGCGTGGATTCGGAGCGGGTTGTGTGGCTCCTCTTTGTGCCGTCCGGCTAGCTAGATGCCTGCGGGTTTCCGGTCAAAAGCGGGTGACTGCCCCGTTTGCGGGTTGGTTGAGCCTTTGACCTCTTATTCGTGATGGACTTGGTTAGTTTATCTTAGACTAAAATAGAGAGAAATTGGTTTCGCATTCGTGAACTAGAAGAAAAGTTGGAATATGAATATGCAGCCATTGTACAGACTAGTGGCTCAATCAGTTATGTGAAGTTTGTGGTTCTTACTCACATCATACTCAATATTTGCAACTAGATCTTTGGAGCTATGATGCACGTGTTCAATTTCCAGACATGGCCTATGATGTGTTTCTCTACAGGCCGATAGTGGGCTATTAATAAGATCTTCATTCATATCACCTGTAACTTTGAAAGTGCCAGAGACAATTGTCCCAACTGAGGGTGGAGGCAAAAAGATTGTCGAAATAGACTTCGCTGTCAAGAATTCATAAAACACTATAAGTTGCTGGAGAACTCTCGAGCTCTCGGTCTCAGCTGTGTCATACCCTTCTAAATAAGATGACAAATTGTCGACAGAAGATGCAATGAGGGAAAGTCAATAATAGCACTTCACTCAATACAACAGAATCATGTGTCGGTCTGGTTGACTGGCGAAATCGTGAAAGTCGATTTTACTTTGTTGATTGATCAGTTGCTTGATTTGCTTTGAGTGAAGTGTTGAGTTTCAGTTGAATTGGAAGACAGACAAGACTCAACATGGTTCACGCCATGTCTTTACAGCCACAATATTAGTTATTGAAAACATCGGCTGTTGCGATGACAAACTTGGTAAACCATCATCTATGGCAACAATGAACCAACGACACGAGAAGGGCGGTAAACCTCCCGATACTTTATATACAATACCCGACCAGAACAGCCAGTACCCGGGTACGCGCGCGGCGGGCACACGCCAAGTCAATATGACAGCTCGGACTCCGTTTACGAAAATTGTAGCATGCCATTGAGGCTATATTGACAACCTTGCGACAATGCCGCTAGTCAAAGCTTAAACGGACTTGGTGGATCCCGGGCAAGCCATTTGCACCGTTAACTGTCAACGTCAAAGTTTCCTTCTAGATTAATCATAATCTCGTTCATTGTGTAGTTCGGCATTCTGCTCTCAACCCTTGTGAGCTAGTGCGCCCGTGGCTACCATCAGTGGTCGCTTCGGGTGTCATGACACTTACACGGCAACCGGGGGCTGCGAAGGATGCGGAACTTTGCCTGGTTCGGCACTCGTAAACGCCCGCCATTTCGATGTCCGGGTCGTCCGGCCGCACCGGCACAGGTTCTCTAAGAAGGTTCATGGCCCTGGGCAATGTTTTGGTAAGAGCAATTTGATAAATACAACAATATGTCCCCGAGGAATACGCTTAGGTCCTGTTCTTTTTGTTTTCCTCCCTCTACATGCCGCATAGCCAGCTAATCTCTAATACGGCGTGCGCTTGTTAATACCACTTAGTTCAACTACAGTCACTCCTTGTCCTCGTCCCCTTTCACATCATGAAGTTCAACCAGCTCGCCTCGCCCGCCTGGGCTCTCCTACTGTCCCAAGCCGCAGCGAAGCCCTGCGCCGAGGCAAAGATCGACGTCGACGTCGCCATCATCGGCGGCGGCAGCGCCGGCATCCACGCCGCGATCCAGCTCAAGGACGCCGGCGCCAAGGTCGCCGTCATCGAGAAGAAGTCTCAGATTGGCGGCCACGCAGAGACCTACATCAACCCGCAGACCAAGATCCCGGCCAACGTCGGTGTCGTTCTCCTCGAGAACAGGGAGATTGTCAGCAGCTACTTCTCCCGCCTCAACGTCTCGACCATCAAGGCCAATCCTCTCACCAGCGCCACCGCCGGCGCCTCAAAGAGCTACGACTTCTCGCTCGGGTTCCCTATTCCTGCGCAAAACGCCTCGGCCTCGGCCGCGCAGCAGCAGGCACTCCAGGCCGCAGCGCAGGCCTACTCGACCAACGTGTTGGCCAAGTACCCCTGGATTGACCAGGGCTTCCTCGTTCCCGACCCTGTGCCGGAAGAACTTACGCTCCCTTTTGCAGAGCTCGCTCAAAAGTACAACTTCACGGCGCTCCTGGCCGTCATCGCCCAGTTCAACTGGTGGACCGGAGACATCTCCACGATCCCGGCGCTGTACGGCATCAAGGGCCTCGGACCCGGTCTGCTCCAGAGTCTCTTTGGCGAGTTCATCCTCTCCGGCAACGGTGACACCAGGGCCCTGTACGACGCCGCCGCCGCGGAGCTCGGCGACAGCGTCCTTCTCAACTCCGACGTCCTCAAAGTGAAGCGCGACGTCAAGATCGACAAGGCCACCACCTCGGGCGTCACCGTCCTCGTCCAGCAGCCAGGCCAACCCAAGAAGCTCATCCGCGCCCGCAAGCTCCTCATCGCCATCCCCCCTATCCTGGAGAACGTGGCCAAGTACGACCTCAGCTCGGACGAGCACGCCCTCTTCTCCAAGTTCTCCGCCCTCGGCTACTGGGCCGGCGTCGCCACGATCCCGGGCCTGAACACCAGCCTGACCAACGTCGGCGTCCAGACCCCCTTCAACCAGCCCGTCATCCCCGGCACGAACGGCTTCAACACGGCCGGGTCCCCCAACGACTTCCTCGTTGCCGTCGGCTTCCAGGATACGAACTACACCGAGGCGGATGCCAAGGCCGTCCTCGTCAAGAACCTGGCTACGCTGGCTGCCGTCGGCGCCGTGCCCAAGGACGCGGCCCAGACGGTCACGTTCCCCTATGTTTCGGACCACAAGCCCTACAATGTCCGCGTCTCGACTGAGGAGATCAAGGAAGGGTTCTATGGCAAGTTGCTTGCTTTGGAGGGAGCGCGCAACACGTACTGGGCCGGCGCGACTTTCTCTGGTCACAACAGCGCACTGGTTTGGTCGTTCAACGAGGGGACGGTTCTGCCAGGCCTGAAGAAGGATCTTGGTCTGTGATGGAAATAAGTCCTTAATAGCGTGGCGAAGGAGACTGAAGCTTTAAATGTGCATATTAGAGCCACGGATGAAGGGTTACGACTCCTAGCCTACATAGAATAATTATCTCAAGATCAATTTCTGCGCCACTTTCAGTCTCTGATACTCCTTGCTGAAACCAGTGAGACGACAAGCGCGTTTGTAAATCCATCGCCCCATCTATGATGCAGGAGCCAATAATGAACCTCCATAGCCTCTGGTCGGCAGGACGATCTAGATTTCGGAGCCCAGATCATGCTTTTGACGCGGAGTTGATTTGTATCTGCTCCGCGTCAGATCGCTCGGCTATATTCACGTCCGAGATATCTGCGTCGCTGTCTAGGCCAGATACTTCACCTGGAAGTCGGTCCTTGACAAGGAGAGCAGCCCATGTCGTCGCTGGCGCTCCAACGTAGAATACGACTACAGATATGACCAGGTTTGTCATCAAAGAGGCGCTGCGAACAGAGCCGACGGCATACGCCAAAGCCGACCCCAACGATTCTCCAGAACGAAGGACACCCATCGACAAAGCAATGGTGTCCGCTTCAACGTCAAAGGTCCCGAGAGTCCAGTAGAGCCATACGCCGACAGTCTCATAGGCAATGCTAAGACCGCTTTGTTAGTATTCGCCGTCATGGTTGCTTTGGAGGTCGTTGAGGAGAACTCCTACCGATAGAGAATGAAAATGGCGACTCCCTCGCCGAAGCTCTCACTGACCCAGTCAATCTCACCAGGGCTCTTTCTTGCCCATCTTTCCTGGACGACCAGGTTCCAGATCCAAACTAGTGTGAAGAGAGCCAACAAGAAATACCAACTCCAACGTGCTTGGGTAGTTCTCTTCAGATGCTTTGAATCAAGCCACCACCCTGCAAAAACATTTAATATCGCACCCACAACAGCAATGATGAAACCCGCAAGAGTACGAGCGCGAACGGTGAAGTATGCAGCCATGTAGTTGCCTTGGTACGTGACGCCCCACTGCGCGGTGATGAAGGCCGGGATAAGAAGCAAGACCTCCCTCCGTTTGAACTGCGCGAGGAAGCCCCTAAATTGCGTCTTGAATGTGCGCTGAGAGTTGGCAAAGATGGGCCTCTTCCCGTCTTTGCGGATCAGCTTGTCGGGCGGTGCCAATAATAGTGAAAGTGGCAACCCTAAGCATTGAATTGCAACGAGGACCAGGTAAGTCGAAGGTGAGATGGCGCCGGTTGTGTTGCTGTCTTTGTTGATAGCAAGTTGAATCGCGGTGGCGATGATGGAACCGAGCTTCCCAAGAGCCATCCAAATGCTGACTGTGCGAGGAATTAGCAATGATAGTACTCCTTTGGGGTCTGAAAATGTCGGGAGATGGGGTTACATGGCTCTGGAAATACGTACTACAGACACCACGACGAGCAACTTCGGGATAGCCCACAGCTATGGCGGCTTCACCAGGCCAAAGTGCCGATGCCTACTTCAAGTCAGAGACCTATGGCTGCCGCTGTGATGAGAGGAAACCTACCGAGATTCCACACGTAACAGCACCAAAGATCAGAAACCACTGCGTCCCCCAAATCGAGTTACAATAGAGCGCAGCGGAGTACGGGACATAGCCCAGAGTTCCGATGACGACAATCCACTTCATGCCAACCAAGTTCCCGACCATACTGGCCAGCGGTGACAGCGCAATCATGATCCTAAGTCATTAGCAACACGGACACGATATCTCAGGATCGTTGAAAAGACTGAGACTAAATGAGAGTAACTTACACGAATGTGATGACGTTTACAGCATTGATGACGTATGGCTCAGCTTGACCACCAGCGCCCAAATCTTAACGAGATTGATCAGCAATTACATACTGCAATAATAGTCACGCATCTGACGAGCTTACTGTTCATTGCCGTCCATATTCCGGGTTGAGTGAAGCTGATGAGACCCAGCAAGACAGCTTGGAATATCGTTCCGCGAAAAACATCGTGAACCCTGCTTTTGGGCTTCAGCGTCCGAGGGTTAGCTTCAGACATGTTAAGAGATCCCGCCGCACTTGAGGAAAATGATGCTCTTTAAGCTGATAACTCAAGAAGACATCTTCAAGGCTCATGCTTTATGCTTTTAAAAGCCTCTCAACCCCTACCCAGGCCGAATTCTCTGCGCGATAACGGCATTGCGCTATGGCAGGTCTTGATGGTACAACGCGCCAAGTGGATGCGATTCTGCGAAAGTAGCCTCAAAGCCCTCGAGAGCCGCATGGAAGTCTTCCATTCACTTTCCAATGCTACATAGTTCAGGCAAGAAAGTGGAAACTCGAAGATGATAACGCTGACCACATTGCTGCTAGGCAAGGGTGATTTTCCGATATCTTTCCGAAAGCTCGTCACGCCATAGCCCTGGTCAGATTGGGTCTCCTTTGGCTCCATTAGCGGATGTCAGAGGAATAGACTGGCAGATGGTCAATTGAAAAGTGAGAGAGTCTTCAGAATTTGGATCAAGTTGTGTCTAATGTTTCCCAAGTAAACTGCCAGGAACATTCAACACGGCTTCAAGGGCAACAGTACAGGCAACCTTAGCAGGCTTATATGCAAGCGCAAATTCTGGCTCGGTCACACAAATTGGAAATCTTCAATGAAAGAACTTTTTGCATTAAAGCCCTCATCGCTCTAAACCACATGCACCCTAGACACACGTGTACTTCTCGAAAGTTTGAAAATGGCTATTCCTTATGCTTTCATAGATAGATGTAGCAGAACGGAGTGTCGTCGACAGTGTTCAGCAGCTCTTTGATAGGGCGATCTTGCGCCAAAACGCCCATCTCAACTATGTCCTCCTTCGTCGCGTCACGGCTCGGTGGCAGGTTGAGAATCGTGATGGTACCAGCAATCTCAAAAGCCTCCCAGAGGTGGAGGGCTTGCCAAATCCAGTAAACACGGTCAACCATGGCATGATGGAGGAAGAAGGTCGGATCGGTCGGGGAGGAGTAGAGATCACTAGCATCTCCATTTGCGACGAAATGGCCTGAAGCGTGCATGCCTGCATTCAAAATGTTAGCCTCAACTATGGCTATCTCAGTAATCCGTTGAACATACCCAGGAAGCCATCCCAGAAGCGACCCTGAAGCTCATTCTGGAATGTTGAGATATTCTTGGAAGCTTGACCAACGGTGACGTTAAGCAGGTTAGGGGTCGTCAACCAAGTAGACGCTGCGTATGAGCTCAAGTCGCGGCGCAGGCAACGTGGGTTGTACTCCATGGGGCCATTGGGGTTGGGGTCCATGCCATCCATGCCGGGAGATACTGGACCAAGGTTGACGGTCATGCTATATCCTGTTAGATGGTGACTTCCATGAAGTTAAGGATGTTGCTTACTTCACGAGAGGACCGCTCGTTACACAACCGCCGCCATTGCCAGATGGTACTGCGATCTCGCCATATGGCGAAGCACTCACGCTGCCATTGTGAGCAATGTAGGCACCATCACCACTTAGACTGGTATCACTCCCATCGTAGACTGGTGACTTGCGCGGATCATCGGTGTGAGCGAACCAGTTCCAGTAGGGCTGGGCCCCCTTATAACCACACTCGGTCTTTAGAGCATTCTCATACGCCCAAGTAAAGTACCTATGCCATGTCAAGAAGTTGCCCGTACCATGAATGGTCCGAGTCTGGTTGATATGGACGGCAACGAAGTCGTCATATCGGTTGCGGGCTCCTGGTGCGAAGGAAGGGTCGGACTTGGAAGGAGACGTCAACATGCACTGGACGGCACTGATGTACTCCTTGCGCTCCGTGGTAGAGAAAGCAGCCCTGAGCCAAGATGTTAGATGTGTGTACTAGGGCTAGCCACTTCGTCTCACAAGAAGGGCCTCGAAAGAATTATGAGACAAGATAAAACCTACCAATCCCTGCGAACACTGGCGTTGAAGAGGTTGCACCCACGCTTGGAAATGGTCCCATTTGCTTCAGCCGCCTTCAAATTCTCCATGGCTTGGGCTTGCAGGTCTGCGAGCACATCTCCGGCGTCACGAGCCTCGAGAGGGGTGTCGAGGGGGGCGCCACAAGCGACGACCGCCAAGCTTAGGACGGCTGTGATCTTGACGGGAAGCATCGTAATCGGCTAAAGTCTGCTTTTGATGAAAGGGGGTTCCAGACGCAAGCTTCCGCGTTAGGAGGGGGAAGGGATCTGCAAGGGCAGCGGAGCGAGGTAGGTGAGCAAAAGGAACAGAGAAACGTGGCATTCGAGAATGTGGGCGGCTTCTATATACACCGAGACCATGCTCCCACCGGTGAAGCATGTCCATCACTGCCGAATGTAATTTCAACATATTAATACCAGTCGACTTGGCGAGCGTATTAATCGCCACAATTGACCAGATTCGTAGAGTTACTCATGTGTTGGTCAACAACTTGCATGTGGATGTTGGAAGGCCTACGGAAAGGCTCGTTTTCTCGGCACTTCGGTGTTGATATCTGAACTAGGTAAGCCGTCCTCGTTATTGACCCCTGCTCCTTGGGTTTAAGCCCGCTTCTTGACATGGTGGAGTCTGAGGTCGACACTCGATCAACGGGCTGCCTGGAGGATGGAACATGGGATTGCAGAAAAAGATAAAGGACAACATTCCGAGGTGACTTTACTTACCTGGAACTCTTCAGCCGGAACAAGTTGCACGTGAGTATAGCTGGTCTCTACCTTACAGAGGGAGAGGCTTTACCGTCCCAAAGGGTCGGTAGGCTTAAATATGTAGAGGTTCTCACCTTGTGTAGGCCTTTCCGTCAACCTCTCTCGCCTCCAATAAGTGTTCCTAACTCCGGAATACCAATCTCATCTCATGCAAGAAGTCGGGCACGCCATTACTTTTACTCTTCCCACAGCCCACATGCACTTGACTCAGTTTGAGTGTAAGAAGAAGGCTTTGGAGGCTGAAGCATGAGCTCTCAAAACTCCGAATATGCAAATCAGCTCTTAGCAGGGACCGCTGAACTAAGGAAGCTTCGAAGATGTGTTGCAACTTGCAAGTCTGCAATTTGCAACCAAGGCCCCGCCCCCGCTCGTCAGAATGTCACATCATATTAGCTCCAGCGTTCCAACCCATGTAGGGGCTCCACAGGCTGTCGACATTAGATGTTAGTTCCAACGGGCACACTAGGGGAGTTCGGGGAACATGCCCTACAACGGCCCGTATCACACCACTGAGCATGGATCTAGTGCGCCAGGATCGGATATGCCTGCGGTTGCGGCTGCGGTTGAAGGCTGTCGACGAATGATTAGGCTCCTTTCATTCGTTAACCCTTGGCCCCCAAGCCTCCAATGCCCTGGCTCGACTAACATCCCGCATCTCCTAGAGAATTACTCACATGAAGGCCTTTACCCGCGATCACTGGGGAAAAGATCATCTTACACGGTTCATTTACCTCAATGAGACTTTTAACAGTGGAGAAACTGTGTCTCTCGCCTTAATCATTTTTCTGCCAAGTTGAGCTCCCCTGGTCTTTCGGACATTCGTACATCGCATAGGGAAATGGTATCGTACTTCTGGTTGACCGGGAGGCCGACGACTGACATGGGCCGGCCTGGGTAGATTTTCAAAAGACCTGGCGACATATGGTGTAGGCATACATACATGCAGCCAAGGCTGTAATACTTGGTGAAGGAAGTGCATCCTCACAGCCCAGCCTGAGCGATTGGTCTTTTGGACATAACCTCGCCATCGTCTCGCAGCCTAGGCTCCACTGATCCTAGCAAGTTGACGAAGAACACATCGGTAACGAGCACCACTTTGAATTTATTTTCAAGTTAATCTGGGCTTCTTCGATGATATGCTGCTCGGAGACAAATTCGCCAAAGTGTTCCGTCAGCGAACTTGAAGAAAATGATGTTTGAAAAACAAGTGAATGACTTCAAGAGTCTTCAGCCTCACTCACCATTTCTACCGCAACTTAAATCAATCCACCAGAATCTTGTACGCCTCACTCATTCAAGAGGAACAAAATATCCGGAGGACTTGGATGGCTGGGGGGGGCGGCACACCTTTCTGTGCCGCAGCTAAGCAGTTGACTGAAAACAGTGCAGGTTCCATCCCACCGGATGCCTGATTCTCGATGAAGACAGCTGCAGGAGTGAGCTCGCCACACCAGAGCCATGCTTACGAAAATTTCACACTCTGAAGAGGCAGGTGGACTTCAAACCCACTTGACACCTAAAGCGAATGGAACGTAACTGAACGAGCAACTCGCATCCGTTCAGTTCCAACTTCGCGCACCAATCCTTGGTGTGAGACGGCCGTTGCACGCTTTTGGATCCTGCTTTGCTTCCTGCATTCACAGATGCCAGACTTCTTGTCACATACTGCATGTGAACATTCATGATATGAACTCATGACTCGCTCTTCCATGCGGACACGATGTCTCTCTATCATCTATGCATTCGTTTTTCATTTGCCTGGTCTCAATGTACGTCTTGTTGAGCTATAATCGGCCATAATGTCTTCAGCTCCTCCACCTACCACGTCTCTTGACCCGGATTGGGCCAAGGAGAGTAATACCGCCATGATTTTCGGTGTCACTGGCGGCTTCCACGCCCTTGCGCTGCTTTTCGTTGGCCTCCGCGTGTACACCCGTGCGGCCATCGTCAAGCTTATGGGGAGAGACGACTACGTCGCCATTGCATCCGTGGTACGTCTGCTTACGTTCGATTTTGGTCCTAAGGGCTGTGAAATATTGATTTTGGAAGTTATGTGCCATGGCAGGCATGACAATATTTTCAGTGCAATCCTTCTACGGTCTCGGGAAGCACACACTCACCATCCCTGCCGAGAACATGGTCATCATGAGAAAGTCAAGCTTCTTCCAGTCAATCATATCTTCCATCGCTGGTTTGGCATTGCTGAAAGTATCGATTGGCCTCTCTCTCCTCCGGCTCAGTAATGGTATCTGGTACTCGAGATCTCTTTGGGCATTAATTGGTAAGCACCGACTACTCTGAGCTGTGAACGAACAGACCTTGGAGGTTACGCATGATTCTTTTCTAACTGCGATCAGTATTTGTGTCTGCCTATAGTTTCATGGCCTGGATGACGTTCTTCTTCTATTGCCAACCACTGGAAGGATATTGGGACAAGAGTTTAAAACCCAAATGCTATCCAATCACTCTCTTCATCAAATTTGGCTTGATCAACACTGCCTTCAACATCTTCACCGATGTATGCTTCGCTACGCTTCCTGTAAGCATCATTTGGACGTTGCAGATGAAGCTAAGGACACGGATATATCTTATCATTGTTCTCAGTCTCGGTTACTTGTATGTTGAACCCCAATTGAGCTTTCATTTTCTTTACTAAGTGTCCATAGTGCGGTAGCTATGGGTGTCATCAAGTCAGTCTACCAAATAGCCTACGGGAAAGACATGGACAAGACTTTGTGAGTCGCGTACTGCTATCACCTCGCAAGCCTTCAACTGACAACTCCGAAGTTACCAAAGTATTCAATTCTGGGAATTGTCAGTTTACTTCTCAAACTAATCATCTGCTTTGACTGACACTTGATTGTAACAGCTTACAACTCAACCTCGGAATCATCGCGGCTTGCGCACCATCTTTGAAGCCTCTTGTCGGCCATGCCCTCAAAATTTCATCGAGCGACCGCTATCACGGCGAATTATATGAGAATCGGAGACGGACCGGAACAAATACGTCAAAACGCCGCCAGGGCTACAGAGTTCACGACAGTCAAGTTGAATACGAGATGCATGGTCGTACTTTTGCTGGATCCCCCGAGGTTCAGCGCAGTGCTGTAGATAGCCTACATCAAAGCTCATATGGAAAAGACGACAGCAGGGGGTCTGGGAGTGAGGACATGATTCTCCAGGATGATAAAGGACAAGGAATTATGCGGACCACAGAAATATCGATCAAGCGATGAGTTGGAAGGCCCGAGATCCTGGCGTTCAAATACTTTGATATCCACCTAACAATACTGGACTGATCACCACTGGAACTGTTTCCCATTCCTCTGGAGAAACTTGCCAACCTCACCATCTCTCTTGCCCTCAACAATCTCAAGGATACCCTGCGCGCTGGTTTCCGAACTCTCGGCGCCTCCATCGATCCTGTTCTGCCTGTCGTCTTCACCTGACAAATTGGTGATGACCCAGCCAGGACAGAAGGCCCAAACTTTCGCGCCCCAGCTCTTGTAGGCCCACAACATATGGGCCGTCGCCATGTTCAGGGCCGCCTTGGAGATGCGGTAGGCATCGGCGGGAACGTCGTAAAAGGCACCACCTGGAGTCGTACGCTCGTGAAGAGAACCGAGACCACTTGTGACATTGATGATTCGCGCATCCTTAGACTTCTTGAGTAGCGGTATCAGGGCCTCGGTGAGGAGCAATGCGCTAGCTGCGTTGGTGTTGAAGGTGTCGATAAGCTCGGAGCGGCGATCCTTGGGTTGCATGATGACGATGCCGGCGTTGTTGACGAGGACGTCGAGAACGCCAAAGTCGGCAGTCAGCTTCTCGACCGCAGCCTTGATGGAGTCGTCGGAAGTGATGTCGAGCTGCAAAAGGCTTACGGTGCCGGCCGGTTTCCGGGACTGGAGATCCTCCACAGCCTTGGCACCCCGCTCCGCGCTCCTGGAGCCGACGACAACGTGGTTGTCAGGGGATGCGGAGACCAAGGCCCAGGCGCTGTCAAAGCCAATGCCCTGGTTTGCACCTGAACATTGTCAACTCTCATTCTGATCGGTGATTGACGCATGTCTTCTCGATTCGATGACCAAAGACCCGTGCCTTCTCGTTAGTGATCCAGAGTGTGAACTTACCAGTGATGAGGATGATCTTCTTGGAAGACATATCGAGATACTCTATTGGTGTGTGGATTACTGAGAGTAAGAACAATGATGTGCGGTGCTTGCCCTCTGTTATGGGTTTCAGTGATGAATGCTTCTTAGTCGTTCTTATAGTCCCATGTCAAACAGAACCGTTGGGGCTCTTCCGAATGCATTTCTCGGGATCGGCGAGGTATCGTTGTTCCTCCGTCCCGCGCGCGTTAAAGCCATAAAGTCCGGAGTTAGAAATCTAAAGACAGGCACACAGGCTGATTCGACTCCAAAGTATCAACGTTATGCACCAATCGTAAGTTGGTGGCGCTTATGTTTTGGGGGGTGGTGATTCAGCATGCTCCTAGTGCGGCACATAAAGATATGCAGCTTATGCCAAGGAAGCGGATACTTTTTAGGCTCGGATATGTTTCTAAGCAGGGCGAGTTTCTACAGCATTCTCCGAATGGGATTCTCCTCTATGGCTTACAAAGATGGATCTTGATGTAATTCTGTAATCACATTGCGACAACAAAACCTGTGAAGACAACCAATTTTTGGTCAGCGTGCGATGCCTCTGTGGTGGAAAGTTCCCCCAATTGCGGGGGGTTTGTACATCGTGCAAACACAGAAACAGCGCTAATTTTGTGTACCTCTGTCTGTAGGTCTTGCATGACGTACGTTTCAGAAAGATGACGGCCGGAAATAGGAGATAGCCTCTGTTGGAACTGTCGCACTCCGCGGATTGGCGTCTGCGGGGGAGCTACGAACCGTTGGCAAAAACACGTCAAATTCAAGCGATTACACACCACCAACGAAGTTAGAAACTAAGATGGCGGCTAGAAGGAAGACCCTCTTCCGTTTAAGCTCTAGCCACCTGTTCATACCTAGTGATGGGCGGATAAGGTAGGTACCTAGTGCCCCGGACGCACGAGCCTCTAAGCATGTCACTGCATGTGTTTACGCCCAATGAAGATCAGAAACACGTCTTCAGCGCCTCCTAGTCAGTACAGCTAATAATGATCTTGGTCTGGCCTTCGATAAGAATCTAGGGCGTTTGGTGACTGCGGGAAGATGTCTCACACAACATTTCCCGGAGATATCAGGCACCGCGATGTGAACAGCCACTACTGTCACAGGCCTTGATGAGCCATGGGAGCCAAATCCCGAAAGGCGGCAAGTATATGAATGCGATGAAGGCAACAAGATGGCCGTGACGACTTCGAGACCGAACCCCGACAATTTTGACCCTCACCTTCACGTGAGGTAGCTCCAAGAACGCATGCATCAATGGGTAGCTGGACTTGTTGGGGAAAAAAAAAGAATACATGGGAGAGAAGAAATAAAAGAAATTGGTCGCTTGTGGTATTCGAACTCACAAGCTACAGCTCGGTAGCTTTGCACTTCAGGATTAGGGGTATAACCATCTTAAGCTTCTGGGCAAGAGTCCCTTTTACTGCTGTTGTAGATGCCAGAAGTGAGCTTGCTTATATCCCAGCCTGCAACGGTGGTCCTATATCTCGCGGGTACGGAGTATTCCATCACTGAATACTCATTCCGCCAACACGAGGACTAGGCTGAAGCCATTGTCCGAGTTGCTGCATACCCTCGCAAAGACTTTGCCTTCTCTGTGAATGAGCTTTACGCCTCTAGGACTCGTACACGAAGAAGCGGACCTATGCAATTTTCTTATTATGGCAGAAGGTGTGAAGCTACTCGATTTTTAAAACCTTCAATAGAATACCAGTCCCATGTAAATGAGCAGGGAGCTGTAAGCGTCGCCCATACACCTGATCGAAGAGTCAGGTCTTGACGGAGCCTTCAGGTGAGTGGTCGATGGTAACTGATTCTGAGGTTCGAGATGAGTTTACGAGTTTGTAGATGATATATGAAGACTAGAGTGAACAATGATGCACCGAACGTAAGACGATAAATGTTGTTGGGTATCTCGAGACGCGGAACTTCTGGTATGAAGATCTGCTGCCTTTAGTCGACCATAGCTACTTCGTTGACACAGACTCAAATCTCAACCCCCAGCGCTTGTACTGCTCCAAGAGTAGCAGCATAAAAAGGGCTGTCATCTCCCACAGCCTCCTTCTCGAGCTGCAGACCCTTCAACGCCAGCTCGCGTCCTTCCTCTCGCTTTCCCAAGTCAAACGCTTTGCGAGCGGTAGCGATATACATTGTCGAGACCTCCCGTCCGCGGATAGCCTCCGCCTCGTGAGCGTCCAGGAGCGCAAGCATCATCTTGAACTCGTCCTCCGGATCCTCAGAAGCAGCTTGAGCGAAGAGCTCCAGCTTGCGCTGAATCTCCGCCCGGCGCACCTCGCCGGCTTCTGACGAGGTCGTCGTACTGCAGGCAGAGCATCCACAAGTGAAGCCGTACCCGTCATGCAACGCGGTCTGTCGGGATTGTCGCAGGCCCAGATGTTCGTCAAGGTAGGAGATTGTGATTTCTTCTTCCGGCTCAATGTTTCTGGTAGCATGAATGGTGAATGCGTCTAAATCCTTATTGAAGTTTCCTTGCGCGTTGGGGACACATGAGTGGTTCAAGCGCGCAACCTGAGGAAATAGCGCTTGGGTCTGATTGCCAATGTTGAAGTTGTTGTTCCGAAAGATATTGAGAATGGTGTGGTTGGACACTGTGTGTTGTGGAGCAGACTTGCTTCGCCATATTGACTCTAGCCAGCTGAAGACGCTTGACTTGCTGGGATTGGTTGATAATGAGAGTAGTGAGTCCCGGCCAGCTGTTGAGAGGAGTTGGGCTTGTCGCAGGATCGAGTTGCTATCTGAGGATGTGATTGTGAGTAGAGCTTGGTCTGTGAGGATTCTTTGGCCCGTGAGAATTGGTTTCGAAGCAAAAACTCCGAGGCCTTTCCCGATTGCCTGTCGAACAGTGAACATTTTAGCACGCTAGTAGGTTGGTTGTCTTTGCGAGTGATGTGTTGACATTGAAGGTTTGAGCGGCCCCTGACAGAGGAAAATATTCCGTGGCCTAAAGAGGCAAGGGGGCGATTGCGGAGATTGCCGATTTCAAGGACATACTAATTAAAACGCCAAAGGCCCTCGCTTCTCTTATCGTTAAAGTTTCACAGACTTGAGGTACTACAACTACTCAGTGACATAGGTTCACCAGAATCCCATGATTATTCAATCATCAAGATTCGGCTCCTTCCAAGCTTGCACTCGCTCAAGCCCACTTGTCTCCAGTGTTAAATAGTACCAATCATCTCAAATACCTCCACTCAGTTGCCACTTGTCAAGCTACTGCTTGCTAGTTGTAAAACTATAGGCATGTAGCCCAGAGCACGTTTGACGGTAGCTTATGTCTAGATGACCATGATCAGGTACAAATGGTTGACATTTTTTTGGTGTTGGTTCATTCAACGTTGTCTCATTTTGGAAAGGTGGAAAACACTGTCTCCGACCAAGAGCGACTGGTACCAATTCCGGTTCCCCTGGACACAGTGTTCAGTACGTATACCCCAGTAATCACACTATGTTCATCAGGCCCAAGCAGGGATGCGTTTTCATCTGCAACTAAACATCAACTTTCACCAACCAACACCACAATTTTCCATAATTGAGAACCCCCCGCTCTTCCTCAGAATGGCGATTCAAATAGTTTCCGACATTCATCTTGAGTCCCCGAGAGCTTACGATATTTTCGAAATCGTGCCACAGGCACCTTACCTAGGCCTTCTTGGCGACATAGGAAACGTTGCTGCGCACCAGGAGGAGTGCCTCGCTTTCTTGACACAGCAGCTTCGGCAATTTCGCGCTGTTCTATTCGTCCCTGGAAATCATGAAGCCTATCACTCAAGGTGGGATTCCATTCTCGGAATTCTCCAGGAATTTCAAGCAGCTGCAAAAAAGGACTCGTCACTGGGAGACTTTGTACTACTCGACCGCTCTATGTTCCAGGTACCAGACTCCAACATCGTTATTTTAGGCTGTAGCCTTTTCTCCTTCATCCCGCCTGAAAGCGCCGATTCGGTCAGCATGGGGCTCCAGGACTTTTTCCAAATCGATGATTGGGAAATCAGCTCGCATAACGAAGCCCACAAACGAGATCTTTCTTGGCTCAATTCCCAAGTCGCAGAGCTCGAAACGTCTGAGGCCAGAGTCATCATCTTTTCACACTGGAGTCCGACGAGAGATGCTCGGGCGTCTGACCCGAGGCATGCACAGAGTCCCATCACCAGTGGTTTTGCCACGGATTTATCAAAGGAAGACTGCTTCAAAAGCGCCAGAGTCAAGCTTTGGGCATTTGGTCACACGCACTACAACTGTGATTTCAGCGTCGAGAGGGAAGGCGATACAGAACCCCTGAGGCTGATTGCGAATCAGCGAGGATATTACTTCGCGCAGGCAGCAGGATTTGACGAGAACAAAGTCATTAGGATATGATTGAAGATACTCAAGGGTTGAACACAGTGGCCTTTGACCGTACACAGCACACTGCGGCGGCAAAGGAGTCTAGAACGAATTTACAGACAGCAAATAGACAGCAAATAAACAGCAAACACTCCACTATGATCATGCTATGCATTGTACAAGAGCCCGGAATTCAAATCAACGCAGACCGAGACGCTGCTTCCACCATTGAGCGTTTTTGGGGCCATGGGCCACAACGTCTGCAATACATTGCTCAACAACGGCTCTTTGGGCGCTGTTGAGAGCCAAAGGCCCTTTTCTGGTCTCGAGTTCCAGCAATGTCACCGCATCCAAAGCATCGATACGTTTCTTGTTCACCTGAGCCCTCAAGCCGCAAGAGTTGATCTTGAAGACAATAAGGTCCGTAGGTGATATATATGGAACAGAACCGTGAGGTATTCTCCCGATTTCTGTGGCGGCAGCCGGCATGTAAGGGGACTATGGTACGAATGTCAGAGAGATGGGGTGCGTGATTCAATGTTTAAACTGACCTGCCATCCGGGAGTGATGTCAACTTGCACCAAAGTTGTTCCTTGCTTGTAATAGAAGAACTGTGCCTGTTGAATGAAGGGTGAGTTTGGAAGAGAAAGCAACTTCTGTTTAATCCCATGCGGAGCACTGTCGATGTTGATAATGAAGTCGACGTCCTGCATTGATCGAAGTCAGATACGAGTCTCGGTAATCTTTGGCAAAGCTGATTGATAGTCATCCAGCTGCTGGTGAAACGTACCTCAGTGGTCCTGCCAGTAGGAACATACTTCCACAGCGCTAACCCGCCAATCACGGCGACTCGAGCATGAGAAAATTCCGGGATGCCTTTCAGGATGCTGATAACCTCAGAGGCAGCGTTTTCAAGAAGAATTCTCTCAGCCATGATCTCGAACGAAAGAAAGAAAGTACACTAAAAATATTTGGATAGATAGACTGTAGATAGTTACTGGTGATCGGTGAAGCGAGGTGCAGTGATGCTAGATTGATTCTAAGAGGTTACACAGAGCATGCGCGTTCATTGATATAACAAACATTTTCAGACCTTAAGAGCCATGGCTTCCAGCGAAATTCGAGACCGTAGTGTAACCAAGGGGCCTATGCAATCACCTCTATCCTAATCGAGAATGATACAGGGACAAGCCGCGATACGCTGATATCGGTCCCAACATTGAACCAACAAAGTGGCAAATAACTTAACCAATAAAACCAACCAACGGCATCGAACAAGACGTGACGAAGAGGCCGCGACAACTAAGGCTGAACCAACATCAGTCTTGGCGAGTCGCTCCGGGTGGGGAGGCGAAATGCAACGTCGGAGGTGAGTCGCCGAAATAGCCCAGCAGTAGACTGCGAAAGTGGACGATATCGTAGTGGCTGCAATCTAGGTCGGCGGCCGGGTCCTCTAGGATGTTGGCAAAAAGTGCACCCATGTCTTGGGTCAAGGGTTCATAAGGAAGGTCGGTGAAAAGGCAGCCAGCGTGGTTCGTGTGTATGATGATCGTACACAACCCGGGGCATGAGTTGGCCAGGCGCTGGCACAACCTGGCCATATCAGAGAACCGTGATGACTGTAGAACAACATGCCGGAATCTTGCCAAGTCTTCGGAAGCGAACGCATCCAACAAAGCCCCCGCGGACCGGTAGTCCCCGAGTGAGACGACCGTTTTTTGCAGATCGATCCAATGAATCGCACTACTTGCCGCCGAGTGCGTTGGTCTATGTATGGGCTTTCCGTATAATTGTTCCATTAGCCGCCGCGACTCCTTGCAAGCGAGGCCTGCTAGATAGGGAGCCGGACCAACATGGTTCATGATGAGGGGCAGATGGCTCGTGTTGGCGTTGTTGGTTTCGGGTGCTTTACGATTCACGGCCCAAACAGATGGCACCGAAAGCGCTTCCGTCCATATCTGCAGTCGTAATTCAGGGGGCAAAGCTCCGAAACAAGTAAAAAGATGCGCTGCGTCCATGTTGTACTTCAAATGAAGAGCGGGAACGAAGGAAGCATGATACTTGCTGTACTAGCGTGACGTCGAAGGCGGAGTGTGTCGGTTGTAGATGACAAGTTGGCTGTGAGAGGTTGCCCAGCCGCCTGGCCATCTTCTTCAGCAGGCAGCGTCTCCACACGTCCGCGGTAAGTACAGCGGCCTGGGTTAAATTCCAAGACCCAACCAACTTGCTTGACCACTAACAATATTCACCTACACATGCTGTTCAGGTCATACGTTGAATGAAATTGATCTCATCACACATCACCAATTTCGAAAGAACAAGCTGGAGTCGCAGGCACTGTTCAATAGCCAAAAAATGCTTGGAATGTTTCGAACTTCAGAACAGTTTGTGGAGTCGGTTTTCTCGGCCCTCAACGCATCAAAAACTCCATGCGTACTCTGGGGACACTATCTCCTTAATGTCCACGGCGTGCCTTCAATCATAGGGGTAGGTTCATTCCGAGCATTTGCATTGGTGTCTTGGATAACGAGGCTAACAAACAGAAAGTCTATAGATTTTGTCGTCCAAGATCAAATGCTTTCGGTCGGCGCCGATGCTATCTCAGAATTACCCGAAATCGAGCAATGCCCATCCGTGGAACTTTGCTTTGCGAGCTCGCCTGAGCGTCGAACACCACCGCCTGCATTTCATGTGCACATCAAATCGTCGGAGCTCACCATAGGGTTATACCTACAGTCAGAAACACTCTGGTTTCTACCAGACTTTGACGATTCCCTCTTAGCTTTCGAAGACAAGCAATCAGCGACATTTGCTCTTGCTCATGACCGAGATGTGCTTCCACCCTGGCGACCGGGTCGCGGATCTGGTGCTTTCAAATCTAGCGACACCTCCATTGTCGTACCCAGATCTCACATACTGTTAGAGGCTTACCTGAGACTCTATGCTCGTGACTCGGGCAAGACAATGGGCTCCTTCGCCATGGCCATGATCGCCTACATGGAGGAATATGTTGACGACGACGGTTTGCTCGACTCGACACGACTTCCGGAACCACTGAAGTCATTCTACGACGAGCTTCGAGTTGGTGAAAAGCCACTGCGACAATGGACGAAGGAATTCAAAGAGAGCCTTGATATTCCTGACGAAGAGTCTGAGGATGAGGATCTCTGGTCTTGAAGGATAGAGCAGGCCATTGTAATTGTGATATTATCATTCTTCACCTTTTCGTATCCGCGGGGCTGTCTATCCTGTATATCGCTTTTGCAGTATTGAAGTATCCTTCGTACTCAATAATTTCTTCCTCTCCCTCGGCTTCGTAATGATAGTGACCTCCAGCATTCTTTGTCAGCGGAGAGAACGCGTGGGTATGCTCTATCCTCAAGCCCATCTTGTTGCCAGGGTCCGCAGAGTGCAACACAGATAGTCCCACAATGGGCGAATCGAAATCATGAAAGGTCAACCACTTTTCAACTTCCTTTCTATCTTTAAAAGGTAGGTCGCGCTCAGCAGGGAAATCAGGCATAATGTGGTAAGTCGCCTTCCCTGCCTTCACAACAAAGGCTCCACCGAGACTGACAGTTCTTTCATCGCCATACGCAGCATTCAGCCCTTTCCGGATACACTCGGTAAAGCTCCTTTCAGAACCCTTGCGGCCCTTTGCTGTAATCTTGAGGACCGGTCCTGGCTCGCCCAGGGAACCGTACAAGTTGACCATGAGACCGCAGTCTACGGAAGGGCTCGTTCCGACGCTGACTTCTCCGGTGGCGCGTTTGATCTGGATGACTTGACTTTTGTTATCAACCTTGTCAAGACCGCCTTGCCAGCTGAGATTCGGCACAAGCTCGCTGTTCTGCCCGATGACGTGGAAAGGACCGGCGCCGGCACCGATCAAGCTGCCCTTTTCGGGGCTCATTTCCATGTTTTTGCCAATCTCTGGTATGGACCAGATACTGTCAAGCCGGGGGCGGGGAAAGAGGTTCGGCTGACCACCAACATCTGCGATTTTTTCATCCCCTGAGAGACCCTCGGTCGCCAGGTGAAAAGGTGCCTTACGCAGGTCGGGACAATTGACCACAGACACTGATGCGTGCTTGTAGTTGGCGTCCAAGGGAGCTTTGAGTTGCTCGGCTAGCTCTTCCAGGCTCGGGGGTGAGAGAGGGAACTTTTCGACACGCATCGTGAGAATATGAAGTAGAAAGGCGTGAGTATTGTTAGAGCAAGTGACTTTCGAGGCTCGAGGTAAGTACAAATTGATGCCTCTTCTAAGTCAACGGTACTAATATTGTTTTATACTAAATGTGTAGTAGAAGTATGGTCGAGAAGACTATTGTTCGGCCCGTATGACGTGATGCAAGAACCCCGCTGTGCGGATCGGGAATTGCTCGGAAGTCGGTTTAGAGCTTCTTCAGTGCAGCCGCATGCACCTCACTTCGATTGGCGTCTGCAAGTTCAGACGGCGTCTTTTGGGGATTTTTGTTTTACTTGCCTAAGGTACTTGGCATACATTCTTCAATCTTTTCTGGGCAGCGCTGCAACTCAAGTAATCCCATGTGCACACACATCTCCATAGATGACGTTTATTCTTAGCACCAACAAACATAAGGATTCTAAATGATATTTCCTTATTCAACGAAATGTCTGACTCACGCCCAAACCAATTCTATCAATACTACGAAGGGAAAAACTCTCTGAAATCAAAGGAAACTTTCAGATAGGCGTGTAGTTACTTGGCGTGCAGTAGTATTAAGTCATAGAGCACTGAAATAGAACACTAAATTTACATTGAGGTAATAAATATAATACTCAACATAGGGTAAATTTCACTCGATTACTAGTTATAGCTACCTTAAGTATGTACTGAAACTATGCCAAAGCCTATGCTGTTTAACGTGTTGTCCCATTCTCTGATGTTATCGCGTTAATGGGCAGGGAAATGTTGAGTGAGCGGAAATCAGTTCAAATAAAATTCCAGTCTTCGCAAATGCTTCTGCAATTTTGTCACAAGTATTGCCTCTGTCGTGTTCGTATGTTGGAGTCTTGACGGCTACCTTTCGTAGTCCAGATAGTTGACCGGCCAAACATGATGATGCCAGACGAAGCAGCATCGCAGTCAGAGGTTCAGTGCTAGCGTCCAACCTCTCATGAATCCAAGGACGAGAGCCTGGGGCCAAAGAGTACAGACAGTACCTTGGATCCGAGTACCAAATATCATGGAGAGTCAATTGCGTGAGCTTCGCAGGTAAACGCGCAGTAATGTCTGCGTTTGCCATGTCTTCGGGACTTCGGAAGATACTTGGCAGTTCGGTCTCCAACACAGTCAGATCTTCCAAATCCGTGAGACATGTGAGACATGGTTCATCGGGGGTCCGAAGAGCCGAGAGGTCCCCGTGTAGCAGCGTAAGTCTCTGTAAGCGCGGGCAGAGTGTTGAGAGCGTCGTGGATAGGTGAGCGGTGATTCCTGGGTGCGTGGTTTGTTGGAAACAAGGAGCGAAGAAGTGATAGTCAATCTCGATTTCGAGGACTCGGAGACCGGGGCACAGCTGGAGTAGTCGGCATAAGTCGGGTCCCCGGATAGCAGTTTCGTGGAAGCGGATTTGCTCCAAGGCGAAGGGTCCAGCCGCGGCGACTTGGGCGAGACCTCCCCATCTATCGTTGTCGTATCGCGTAAGTATTGACGTGAGAGGAGGCAGCGCAAGCAGGCCAGTGAATATGCGAGGAACCTCGGGAATGTTCATGAAGTATACCGCAGGGTCTTCCAGTTCCAAGTGCCGCAAATTGGGCAAGGTTCCCGGATGGCCTGTCGCATTGCTCTGAGTTGGTGTAAGCCGTTTCCGTAATCCCTTCTCACATTGCTCGGCTGACTCCCATATCACGCGTAATGTCAAACATTGCACATGAACCCCAAGTTCAGGTGTTTCGATGAGGGAGCGGATGAGAAGACCAGCGGCGTCTTTGGATTCATCCAGGTTGATATTAGAAAAGAGTTGAGAATTGCAGAGAAGGTGGAATATTTGACAAGTTTGTGAAAGATTCGACAAGGTCTGCGTATCTCTGGCGTCATCGTATCTGTCTTTCCTCAAAAAAGCGACGGAGTCGACGATGCAACAGATGAGCTCGTTGGGAAGGTCCAGCAGACGTTTCTTCGGCATCAGCATTGACCCCGAAGTCGCCGTCGTTGAGTGTTCCATGACGATGCTCTTCTACAACGCTTTCACAGCTCTTTGAGACCTATGTGCGAAGTGTATTCGCCGTTCAACATGTGAGAAGCATGCAGAAATTGGCTGTATTGCGATGAGTGAGCTCGAATCTGGGAAATCAAGTCGGCAAGAAAGGAGTGAATGGGGTGGCGTCATTCTGACTTTTTGCCTCCATATTCGAAGAGGTTGGACAAGATAGGGGCACATGGGCAGAACCGGCCACTAAGATCAGACGGACCGAGCGCTAGAAGAGGCCAAACGGAGGGCCGAGGTTTTTTGACGCTAAAATCTTTTGTCATTATTTTACTCGGAAAACGGTTCAAGCTTTGTTATATGATGAGATTTTTCCTTTGTGTCGAAAGGGATGACGTGGGAGTATTACATGGAGGTAGCATAACGGAATGGATGGAGGCGTACCGCTACTTTCTAATTTGGTAAGTACCGTTTGGAAAATTGACGATGGAGGCACACCGAGCTCGGTGAAGAGTAGAGGATTACATAAGGAAGGTGAAGACGCCCGTTGTCACAGCAACGCACCGCACGACCCACATGGACGATCTGTTATCGTTATCAAATAATCAACACCACAACACTGGGCATCCTTTTCTAACGCTGCCCCATTTCCAACTTGGACATCGACAACCTAGACGCAGTACTCCAGCACCACATCACTCGGAGACGCGACGGCAACTTGCCGCGACGATACTAACCATGGCAGCCTCCGACGATCTCATCAACTTCGACGTTATCGAAGCACAGAAAGAAAACATCCAGGCGCTGCCCAGTGGTCGCTCCGCCAAAAAGCTGGCCCAGCTGTTTTCGCCCTCGCCTCTGCACAAGCTGAACACCCCGACACCCTCAGACACAAAGAATGTCAACGATTGCATTCGGGTCGAGTACGAGGAGGAACTCCAGAACATCTCCGAGTCGGACGACCCTCTAGACATTTACGACCGTTATGTGCGATGGACCCTGGACGCATACCCCTCAGCACAAGCAACACCGCAATCTCAGCTTCACACGCTCCTCGAGCGCGCAACTAAGACCTTCATTGGTTCGTCACAATACAAGAACGATCCCAGATACCTCAAGATCTGGGTTCTGTACATCCAATTCTTCGCCGACTCGCCGCGAGAAACCTTCCTCTTCCTGTCACGACACAGCATCGGAGACTCACTTGCCCTTTTCTACGAAGAATATGCCGCCTGGCTCGAGGGCGCTGGCAGATGGAGCCAAGCAGAGGAGGTGTACAAGCTCGGCATCGAGCGCGAGGCAAGACCAGTACAGCGTCTGATTCGCAAGTTCAAGGAGTTCGAGGAGAGACTTGCCCACCAGCCCGAGGCCGACAAGGAGCCCTCATCGCCAGCACTTCCCACCGTGCGGCCCGCTTTGGCTGCAAAGATTGACCCCTTTGCTGCTGCCCGCGCTGCGGCCGCTGTCGCTGCAGACCCCCAGGCCCCTCGACCCAGCCAGGGCGTGAGCACAACGGCTGCGAAGCCTGGCAAGGCTAAGATGTCCATCTTCTCAGATGCCGACTCCGCGCCTCCTGCGTTGTCGTCGCGTGGACCTAGCTCGAAGGGATGGGATTCGATCGGCTCCCTGGGCGACCGGAAGAAGGAGAACGTGATGGAGCCCAAGCCGTGGGCAGGGGAGACATTGAAGGCTGGCGGGAAGAAGAGCACTGCTCCGAAGATGGCTATCTTCAAGGATACGGTAAGCACCAATTTACTTGAACTTCCCAATGCCTGGATGTTGATGATTATAGGACTAATGTTTGGCTTTATGGCGTTTCATGTATTTCAGTCTCAGTTGCAATCAAAAGTGCAACCCAAAGCCCAATCACGATCATCACGAGCGCAAATGTCCAAGTCCCATATTACACTCGTGCCATCGAAGAATCAAACAGTAGTGAACCCCGTAAGCGGGAAGAAAGAGCGTATCTTTGTTAGCCTCGAGGCCCTCTATCCCACTCCCGAGGAACCTGGCTCGGAGCTTGGTTTTGAGGAAGTTTGGGCCATGAACCGAGGCTGGCTGGATGTCTCCTGGGATGACGTATCACTAACTGAAGAGATCCCTTCCGAGATGATGAGCGTTGAGCCTTCCTTGGTTGACGATCTCAGCCACCTAGTACAGGAAAAAATGGTTGTTCACACAGAAACCGTAGTAATGGATGAGAATGGAGCCATAGTCAAGAAAAAGGGGGGCAAGAGCAAGAAAAAGAAGATGATGGAGGTCAACGAGACTCAAATCAGTAGGCGGCTTCCGTTTCCATAAGTTATGTCGTGTTCAAGCTAACAATTTGATAGTTAAAGCAAATCTAGACTCACCGTCGAGGCCGAAGTTGAAGAAGAGGAACACGGCTGAGCCAACGATGACGCTCCATACTCGTGCTGCTACGGATGAGATCTACGAGATTTTCAATCAACCCATTCAATCTAATCCTCTGGATGATGAAGAAGAGGAGGAAGAAGACGAAGAGGAAGATAGTGACGAGGACGACGACTACGAGACAGATGGCGACTACACTGAGGTTGAGAACACCATGACTACTCGCCTGATCGAAAACGATGCCGCCGCCGAAGAAGCTGACGAAGATGGCTCGGATGTCAAGAGTATCAGTGAATGGTCCGACTTCTCCACGCGCAAGCACGTCCCTGTTCTCGACGAGGACGCGACCCAACCCGGTGTAGACGATACACAAGCTTCCGACTTGATGGATCCAAACTACGCTGAGCGCACTGGTCCTCTACCAGATGAGCAGACTGTCTCCCAGGATGGCAGAGAATCGGGCGATGAGCAGGAGGCCGAAGAAGAAGAAGAAGGTGATGAGGATTACCCGCCAAGAACGAAGACGATTTTCGTTCCGATACCTCCAGAGGATTATGAGCCCAGGACACGACCGTTTAGGGATCCGGTCGAGATGGCCAATAACCGTCTCCCCTTCATGACCCCGATTACGGAGAGAACCGAATCTTCTCTTGCGTTTACAGAACGGAAGGCGAGGTACGAGACTCCGTCTCGTGAGGAATATGAGTCCACTATCCATGAGGAGGACTCTGACATGGGAGAGCCGGGTAGCAGCCCACTGAGGGAAGTCCTGAGTGAAGTTCGACCTATCAAGATTGCCCAGCCCCTTCTCGGCAAAGCAAAGTCTGCTCCGCCAAAGCCAGCACCTCCCAAGGGACCGATCATCAAGGAGTTGCAATGCAACCCAGTTGATGAAGCCGTGAGGAATGAGATCCTCGCCAATATGCATTCTTCTCTCGACTCATACCCTGGATTCTACGACCATAGCCACGAGAAGTACGAAAAAGGCAATGAGATCCGCAAATTCGCTAAGGCCATGACGAAGGCAGCCAAGGGTGGAGACAGAGTTAGCAATGCTTGTGCCATGGTCACAATCGAGTTCCCCGACATTGCGACAGAATATACCATCAGGAAAGAGCTCGGTGCAGGCGCTTTTGCCCCGGTATATTTGGTTGAGAACCCGGACGCAGACCAAGAAGACGAGGACGAGAACGGGGTCGTGGCCATGGGTAAGGGCGCATTTGCTGTCAACCATCGCAGCCCTCTGGAAGCACTCAAGATGGAACTTCCTCCGACACCCTGGGAGTTCCACATGATGCGTCTTGCACACACGCGCTTAGGCCCTCAGCACCGCGCAGCCGCCTCTGTTTCTTACGCCCATGAGTTCCACCTCTACCAGGACGAGGGCTTCCTCTTCCTTCCCTATCACCCCCACGGCAGCGTCCTCGATGTCGTCAACTTCTTCCGCGCCGAGCCGTCTGCCGTCATGGATGAGCAGCTAGCCATGTTCTTCACCATTGAACTGTTCCGCACCGTCGAGGCCCTACATGCCCGCGGCGTCCTCCACGGCGACCTCAAGGTTGACAACTGCCTCCTCCGCCTCGACCACGGCGGCAACGACCAGCCCCTATCAACGCAATATAGCGCTGCCGGCGCAGGCGGCTGGGACGCGCGGGGCGTGACCCTCATTGATTTCGGTCGCGGCATCGACATGCGCAACTTTGCGCCCGACGTGGGCTTCATCGCGGACTGGAAGACAAGCGCGCAAGACTGCGCCGAGATGCGCGAGGGTCGGCCGTGGACGTGGCAGATTGACTACCACGGCCTCGCGGGCATTGTCCACTGCCTGCTGTTTGGCAAGTACATTGACACGGTTCGCTGTGACCAGGGCGGGATCGGGGCAGGCGGACGCAAGTACCGCGTTCGCGAGAGCCTCAAGCGGTACTGGCAGACGGAGATCTGGTCGGAGTGTTTCGATTTGTTGCTTAACCCTGGGTCGTTTGTCGCCGCGGAGGAGGGCGCCCGCATGCCAGTCCTCAAGAGCATGCGTAGCGTCAGGGAGAAGATGGAGGCTTGGTTGGAGGGTAACTGCGAGAGAGGTGTTGGGTTGAAGAGTCTTGTCGGTAAGGTCGAGGCTTTTGCCAAAGGCAGGAGATGAGGAAGAGTATTGACATGTCTGTCTTGCGTACGATTTGACGAAGGGGTGGCGGCGGCGGCGGCGGCGGCTGGGCGTTCCGGGCTCTCTACAGGAGGAAGGAGATTGTTTACGTCGAACTACCTATACCACTGGTGCGGTCTTTTTATACGTTTTTCTTTTAAACTCTGGTCGTAACAAGACTCTATCACAATAGCGTCTATTTAATACATGTACACACACAAACCAAAAAAAAGAGTTCACCCCCTCGGTGCTGAACTGGGGGCTACATCTCTTGGCGCTCATGCTGGGATTCGAACTCGGGTACTCTCGTAAGCGCTGAGCCTGTCGTCGAGTAGGCTGGTTGGCGTAGATAATTGACGTTGACCTTTAACCACTCCACCACCCAGCCAGTTTGACCTGACCCGTCGACCTAGACGGGTGCCTGCTGGCTGGTGACTGGAACGGAGTTGGGGGGACCTATATGGGCTTGTTGTCGTGATCGGATGAAAAGGCTTCCTCGAGCCTGAGGTTTCCATGGATAGGTGAAGTGTTTGGTGCCTGATTCATCAGACGGGAGATGGGTAGGACAGGTCACATCACGAGGCTGAGGTCGACGAGCCCGCCTGAGTGCAGAACTTCTTAGATGCCTCGAACAGACTGTACATAGATCCCCGGGCCATGGAATATGTCACTGTGGCTAGATTGCCTCTTAGCTATTGTTCCGGACTTATAATTGGATTTTACACGCCAAGTACCCAGTCGCTCATAAGGTAACAAGGTACATATTTATACACAGTCCAGACATCGATTCCGGTCCAGTCCTCTTACTCGCTCTCATCGTCAGTCTCGACCTTCTTCTTCCTACCCTTCCCAGCCGCCGCGCTCTTCTTCGCGGTCCCCTTGGCCCCTTTGGTCCCCTTCTTGGCATCCTTTTCAGCCTTCCGGTCGACCTGATCCTGTATCTTGTCCCTTTCGCCCGCGCCCTTCTTCTGCAGCTCCACCTCGAGCGCCTTGAACTCGTCGCTCTCGGCGTCCATGCCAATCATGCTCTCCAGGAGCTTGATCTCGTCCGCCCAGACCTTCTTGTCCTCGACGGTCTTACCGTTTGCGTCCTTGTGGTCGATGGGCGTCTCAAGGACCATGGGGAGGTTCTGGAAGGGCTCGTGGTTGACGAGGGTGTGAAAGGCGCGGAGGCCGAGGAAGCCAGTGCCAATGTTGGCGTGCAGATCGCGGTGGGAGGCGAAGGGTGCCTTGCTGTCGTTGACTTCGTAGTGTCAGTAATGACGTTCTTAGAGAGCCGAGTGATTTGGGAAGGGGAGTTGAGACTTACGGTGGAACGCCTTGAGGTACTTATTGCCAACGACCTCGTCAAACTCCTTCATCGTCTCATGAAACTTTTCAGGCGTCCGCAAGTCATATCCTGCCGCAAAGGCATGGCAAGTGTCAATACACACACCGACTCGCTCCTTGTCCTCGACCTTGTCAATGATTTGCTTCAAGTCCTCAAACTTTGTACCAATGACATTGCCGGTGCCTGCCATGTTCTCCAACACTGTAATCACCTTCTTCGTCGCCTTGTGCGCGGTATTGAGCTGCGCCGCGATGCGCCCGCACGCCTCCTCGCGAGCCTCCCCTCCAGTATTGCCTGGGTGGAAGTTGTATAGCTTTATGCCCAGCTGCTCGCACCGTTGAAGGTCATCTATGAAGCTCTTGTATGCCTGCTTCGCCTTATCGGCATCCGCTTGGGCGAGGTTGACGAGGTATGAGCCGTGGGGAAGGACATGTGCGGCGACATCGTACTTATTCTCCTTTGCAAGTGACACGAATTGGTCTTTGGCATCGGCTGCCAGGGGAGGACTCTCCCACTTCCTTTGCGACTTGAGGAAGAGGGCAAAAGCATTGGCACCGATATTGACGGCATTCTGGATCGAGTTTTGTACACCTGTGGTACAACTGTCAGCGCAAAGGTTCGAGGATAAGGAGGCGTCGCGAATACTGACCGCCAGCGCCGCTGACGTGGGCGCCAATGTACATCGTCCTTTTCAGCGAAGACACTGTTGTCCTATCTGCCAATGGCATATCGTCCTCCTTCTTCGCCTTGCCCTTCGCTACTGTGGTCTTTCTCTTTTTTGCGGGCTTTTCTTCCTCTTCTTCGGCGCAGCTTCCGCAGGCCTCGTGTTCGTCTTCTGAGACAACCTTGCGCTTTGCTGGTGTTTTCTTGGCTGCGGCTACGGTTTTCGTCGTCGTTGCAGCGACTGTCGTGGTCTTGGCGCCGTTCGTCTTCGTAGTGGTCGTCTCTTCGACCTTGGTCTCGACGACTGCTTGCGCCTTTCTGCGTGCAGAAGTGCGAGGAGGCATGATTTTTGGTTTCTCTTCTTCTCAATTTGCGCCGAGGTGAATGATCTTCGCGACGAGATGCGTATCAAGAAGGATCAATTCTCGAAAGATTGGAACGAGGAGGGGGCGGATGGGGAAGTAGGAATCGGGTCTTCCAAAAAAGCAAAGACTCGTCGTCGGCGGGCCAGTGATTGGCACGCGTCGAGATCCGCGTCATACATGCGCGATGTCAGGTGACTTTAATGAGCAATTAAGTAGGTACTAAGGTAAGGTAATGCAGCTGTATGGGTAGAGTCTGTGCTTGACCTGACTGCTGTACTCGGTACTTGACGCGTTGCCTTACTTGAAAGAAATCTCACAGTTGGACCGAGGTCATTCACGAACATTAACATTGTCCCAGTATTTCAAATTAGAACCAGTAGTTTGAATTGAACCAGACTTTCGATTGAATACCGTAATGTTTGCTAAAACTACACCTAGCCATTCCGCTGTTTTGTGTACTTTGCTTACCCTTTTCCATCCCGAAGACCCTCCAGGCGCCAAATTCAACCGCCGCTACCGTATTTTGACGTATGTAAGACAAATACGGAGTACCAAACTCAAAAAAAAGTTGTAAGAACAAGGATATGCTGCTGCTCGCAGCTGTGCTATGCTACTTCAAGCAATGAATTGAAGCTCGGCCTTGCGCTCAGGCACGAACTGTTCTTTGTAAGTATCCCAAATCTTCTGAAGTTCGGCCATGTACAGGTCATGCAGCCGGTCAATATCCTCCTGGGTAGGTTGCGCTGTGGGTGACGTGGTGACCTTGATAGGCTTCCCGACCACGATGTTGAGCGGTCTGCGATACGGCATCATACCAACATCGTAGTTAAGAATTCCCCGGCCATGAAGAGCAGGGAGAGTAAACTTGAATACGCGAAGCACAAACATCTGGAAGTTGTGCACCCAAGGATGGGTTTTCGGGCTGAGTTGGTCGTAGAGGTCATTCTCGCCAAAACCCAGCACGGGCACGAGGTCAGCTCCAGTCCGCAGCGCCATTTTGATAAAGCCCTTGCGTCCCTTCAGGATCAGTCTGAGAGTCCCGGGTTGAGCCTCGAGTGACTCCCTGGCACCACCCACAACAATGGTGACTGCGCGTCCCATTCCCTCGCCATTGGCGCCGCCCTTGCTCAGCGTGTTCCAGATCGACTCCTTAGACACAGATCGAACGCCCATGAACAGGATGTAGTCGCGGTAAAAGGGGATTCGGAAGTTGTTGTCGAGTGTCAACAATGAGTTGGTGATCCCGGGGAACTTCTGGGCGAATCCGAGGGCATTGGTTGCAAATGCCGCAAAAGCACCGTGTGAGATGATTCCATGAGGGTGGTAGCCGAAAATGTACTTCCTTGTCGGTGGAAGATCGTGAGTCTTATGGAGCTCAGCAGGATAGTAATCGGCGAAGAACTTCCAAATGGGAAGCGATCGTAGCCATTCCGACCGTAGCTTCAAGTTGCCATTGGAGGCAACGCCAGAGAGTGACAGGTGAATGAGGTAAGGGACCAAGAGAGGCCAGGTGAAAGGGATTGCCGCGAGGAAAAAGAAGATCGAGACGAATATCAGAATGGATAGGCCATGAAACAGAACGGCTCCGGTCTGGAGGCGGCGCTGAAAGGGGACCTGAAGAGGTGCGAAGCGGATGCCTGCAGCCTTCAATCCGAAGCGATGGCTGTTTCTACGGCCTTGTGCTGCGAGAGTAAGGCGCGGGTAGTTGTCGTCGCTCATTCCCTTGACACTTGTTGACTCCGATCTGTCAACATCAAATCCATCGACGAGAGTCTCATCAGCAGTGCCCTCGCTACCAAAGCTCTTTTCGGGGTCAACAGCATTGCCATTGCCGTCATTCTCCTCGGCCTTACTGCCGTTGCTTCTCGCCGAGGATGGGGATCGTCGATGGCCTCTGCTCGGGCTTTTAGGGGAATCGTCTAGGCCCTGTAGGAGGAAGCATGGTCAGCGAAATGACATAGCACATAATTCAATTCATATTGACTTACAGTGGCGCTGTACTCGTGACTAGACTCCTTCCTCTCAGCGGCAGGTCTCTCGGTATCATCAGGAGTCTGCTTGTCGTTGGTTGAGGACGCTGGTGGCCCAAGCTCTGGAGCTTCTGCTACAACGTTAATCTTGCTGTTCCCAGACTCGGCTGCCTGCGACGCGAGCTGGGGGTTGCTGAATTTCTTGACAGGTTGTCTCTTGGTTGGCGACTTGGAACGAGCTGCGGAACCCTTCTTGCGAGGCATGATGGCGGATCTCGAATGATGGCGGCTCGTATGTCGATGTCGGCAACCCAGGTCCAGCTCTTGGTGGGAACGTGTACAAAGAGAAGATGCTGAGACCAAAGGTGTTTATAAAGCAGGTTGTCTCTTACCTGAAATGACAGCCACCTTGGTCCCGTCCCCAAAGTTAGACATGGTTGCGTCGGCGTCGGATGGCGGCAGGGCCGGACCTCGGACAGGCGTGCGGCGTGGGCGTAGGCTGAGAGCTCGGAGGAGACCTCCTTTGCTAATCGAAGACCCACGGCTTGATTCAGTAAGGGCGGTGGTTTGAGCAGAGATGATCGGAAACTCTTTGGCGCACAGGGTCCGAAGTCTACGTAGTATGAGGGAGCGGGCGAAGGAATGCACAAAGGGAGAGCGGAAAGGTTGTTTGGTGGCAGCTAGCCTGATGTTGCGAAACGAGGGCAGGTTGGGTGCATTACGCTGGGTGCGGATGAGAGAGAGGGACGTGGGTGTACGTGGGAGCATCAGCAGCTAGCACCCCGGAGCTGCCGCCAATGACGATGACGTTACGGATTGGATCCCGTCCGCATACCGGCAAGCGGCTGCAGTCTACGACAGTCCCCCCTGAGCACAGAAGCTATCTTTTGTGCATAAGTCGTACATAAACATACATAATATGCGAGATATGCACAACCCACGATATGTCGATAAGCACCCCGGTCAGACTCGATCCTTTCTTCTCACCACCACCTAGTTCCTAATTTACATGTGATCATCGAGCTTTCGAAATGAGCTTATTCTTCTGATGCGGATAGGATTCCGATCTACTGGCGTGGTCTTCCTTCAGTTCATGAGAATCGGAGGCCGTCATAGAGAGGAGTCACCTTTCACGGAAGATACAACGAGGCTTCATGGACTTGCATTAGATGCTCGAAAACGATCGACGCGACTGTCTCGAACATGGCGTCGTTGAGCTGTTGGTCTGAGACTTGCCTAGGTACCTAGCTTAGACAAAGCTATGGTGTAAGGAAGCACGAAAGGAAGCAAACGCGACGAGGTACCTCGCACGTTCACGGACGCCTCCCTGGGACCTTGGCCAGAGCTCCTTTGCCATCCTCAACACTGGCGAAAAGCCTCAGTGGGGCTGGACCAGCTCAAACATGTGAAAATCACCAGCTGTCCATGCCATCTTCAAGGGCAGAAACTCCAGAGAGACAGCGACCAGTCAGCTTCCGGCCCGTGCCAAGTCAATTGTCGGGGGATCGGGTGAACGGCAGGGGGAGCACGCGACATTTAAACCTACCGCCGAGTCGGCAACGTGCATGCCGCATCAAGATTCAACATGCATGGATCGGTGTTCTGTTGTAAGAGAATCATTGTAAATGATCAATTGACCTCATGGCTCGAATCCGGGCCTGTGGCTTCGAAGACCTACTTGCAGGCTGGATATTCAGAGACTATATCTCAATCCGCACTGTTCTTTGCGTCCAAAATGCCCAAAGGCACAGTAGATGCGGAGAGATGAGGACTGTATCGGCCAACGCAAATTGCCCCTCCATGACTGGACTCAAATTTTCCCCAAGATAATGAACCCCACCATCATCATCCCACCATTCACCCCGCCGACGTCACAAACGTCAATATTTGAACTGATCTGTCCGCACGTCTCACGGCCCTCTACCCAAGTCTTTCAGAATGGCCAAGGCTAAGAAGGGAAAAAGTGACGAGAAGGCAGCTAAGCTAGTACGTGTTCCACTGCCTCGTCTTCGAGAGCTCCCAAGAGCAAGGAGAGAATTCGTGCCTAACTTTGATATGGAGTAGGCTGCAAAGAAGCAGAAGCAGGCCAACAAGGGCGAGAAGAAGGCAAAGACCAAGACTGCAAAGCTCGAGGGGAGCGATGCCGAGGATGTTGACCTCGAGCAAGTGCTTGAGGAGTACAAGAAGCAGCAGGAGCAATTCCTCAAAGTCACGGAGACCGTGTGCGAGGGACCTCCCAAGGCCCGTTCTGCTTCCACCATTATGGCCTCTCCCTGTGACAGCAACAACTTGCTGCTCTTTGGTGGCGAGTACTTCAATGGTTCGTTGGCTCACTTCTTCAACGACCTGCACATCTACTACATCAACCGTGATGAGTGGAGGTGCGTGACGTCCCCGAACGCCCCCTTGCCGCGCTCTGGACACGCGTGGACGAGGGCCTCAAACCCCAACCATGTCTACTTGTTCGGCGGAGAGTTCTCGTCGCCAAAGCAAGGGACGTTCCACCACTACTCGGACTTCTGGCGGTTGGAGCCTGCCACGAGAGAATGGACAAAGATTGAGTGTAAGGGCAAGACGCCCCCGGCCAGGAGTGGTCACCGCATGACATACTGGAAGCAGTATATCATCTTGTTTGGTGGCTTCCAGGATACCTCAAACCAGACCAAGTATCTTGCCGATGTGTGGATCTTTGATACCCAAAATTTCTCCTGGCACAGCCCGACTCTGCCTCCTGCACAGTTGAAGCCTGATGCCCGGTCGTCTTTCACGTTTCTTCCCCACGAGCAAGGCGCTGTTCTCTACGGAGGGTATTCAAGAGTGAAAGCTACCGTAGCGGCCAACAAGCAAGCCAGGGGTTCAAGCCAAGGACAGAAGAACATCTTGAAGCCAATGGTTCACGATGACTGTTTCTTCCTCAGGATGTCTTTGCCGCCTGACGGATCACCCCCGACAGCGCCTCCAGTCGTTCGCTGGGAACGGCGCAAGAAGCCTGCCAATGCTCCCAGCCCCAAGCGCGCAGGCGCCACCATGGCATGGCACAAGGGTCGTGGAATTCTGTTTGGAGGTGTGCACGATGTTGAGGATAGCGAAGAGGGCATGGACAGCGAGTTCTTCCGAGAGCTTTTCGCGTGGAACATTGAGAGGAACCGCTTCTTCCCGCTTGCCCTGCGCAAAGCCCGTCAGCAAAAGAAGGCCAACCCAGCCGAGCAGCGTGGAGGCCGTCGTGCTCGTGCACAGGATCGAGAGGAGGAACTCCTCCGTCAGCTGGCTGCCTTGGAGACTGGCAAGTCTTTGGAGGATGCTGACGACATGGAGATTGAGAAGAAGGAGGAAGAGCCTGATGAGGATGCGACCCCTATGAGGGAGATGCCGATAACGATGGAGCTGCCGCACCAACGTTTCAATGCCCAGTTGGCTGTGCAGGATGATGTGCTCTACATCTATGGAGGCACTTTCGAGGCCAAGGACCGCGAGTTCACTTTCGACGACTTATACGCAGTGGATCTTGGCAAAATGGACGGCTGTAAAGAAATCTTCAACAGGCCTGTCGATGACTGGATTGTAAGTCAGAGAACTTCTGGACACGGGGTTTGTTCGCTAATAGCATTTCAGGAGTCCGAGGATGAAGAGGATGATGACGATGAAGATGACGACGAAGATGATGAGGATGAGGAGGATGAAGAAGGCGATATCGAGATGGAAGAGGAGGACAAGAAGCAGTTCTACACGCCGAGCAAGCGCAAGAAGAAGCAGGGTGATGAGGCCTCTGTTGCCGGCTCCGAAACGACCAATGCAACCTCCTCGACTGCGCCTACGAGTGCGACAGAGGACGACGATACCGAGGCGACCGAAACCGCCGATGACGGTCTCCCTCACCCAAGAGTAAGCCTTACCAGAACCTATCGTCAGGATTTATAGTCATGATAACTAACACTTCACAGCCCTTCGAGACAAGACGTGACTTCTTCGTGCGCACCACGAACGAGTGGCAGGAAATTCTCATGACCAACCTTCGCTGGAAGAACATTCAGCCGGAGACGCTCGCCATTAAAGAGATCAAAGCTAAGGCCTTTGAGCTCAGCGAGGAGAAGTGGTGGGATTGTAGAGAGGAGATCACGGCGTTGGAGGAGGAGCAGGAGGCCGCTGGTATTAGTGAGGTTGTATCACTTGCCGAGAGAGGTGATGCTGCTGCCGGTGGCGCCAGAAGACGATGATCACTTCAGCAGAAAGATGCAAATAGTCTTGAAAAATAAAGATGCTGGATATACCAAAGTTTTGTTACAAATACTTCACCCTTACTTGCTCTTGTGCACATTAGCTAGGCAGCCGTCACTTTGGAGCCTGGAAGGCGGCGAGAAAGATGTCAGCGAAATACTGGGAAAGTGGGGCACGTGACTGCGCGTCACTACCGCTCTGCCGTCTTTTGCCCCTCGTCACGTCCCGGTCCAGTCTTGGACGCATCACTTCTTTCCATCGAATATTCCGCTCTGGATATTATTGATACCCAGTAAAGACTTGAAAATTCACGGAAAGATTGGTCAAGAAAGCAAACGATTCCACGGCTTGCACCTTTGACATTTCAGTCCCGAATCCTTGTTAGTGTCACTATGCCGATCGGCATCCAGCGGCTGAATGCGAAACGTTCGCATCCAAACGACCGGATCATCTTCATCAAGCCTCTGAAAGGCCGCGATGAAAAGATTGCCCAGGATTTCCTCGAAAGAATTGCCGCACAATGTTGTACGTGGCTCTTCTTGCTATAGAGATGGGTCTGGCTGATCAGATTTAGTACCGATCATGAAAGAGCACCACCTTTCGGTGATGTCTCTGGAGCAGTACGAGTTCAACAGGGAGTTCGTGGGCAGGAATTTCAACGCCGGTGAAATCATTCAGCTTGTGCTCAAGTCTCAATCAGGACGATGGCTACCATTTGAGTATGTTCAGATGGTGATGATGCACGAGTAAGTCTGCTGTAGTGTCCCTGATGACCCATTGCTGACGGAACGAAGGCTGGCGCACTGCAAGCAAATGAATCATTCTAGAGCATTCTGGGCAGTCAGAAACAATTATGCCGAGCAGATGCGAGGGCTCTGGCAGCGAGGGTACTCTGGTGAAGGCATCTGGGGTCGTGGTGCCCTGCTGGGAACGGGACAATTCCAGAACAACGTCGCTCTTCCCTCTGAACCGCTGCCGGAGCACCTGTGTGGCGGCACATATCGCTCCCGTGGACGCAAGAGGAAGATCAAGCCAAAGCTGTCCTACAAGGAGCAAAAGGAGCGCCGAATCCTGAAGAAATTTGGCGCCAACGGCACAGCCCTAGGTGCTGACGAGGAGACAAAAGTCAAGTTGGAAGGCGGCAAGCGCACGCAAGCAAAACCACGCGTGGCTGGGAGTGCTCGTGGACGTGAATTACGAGCCGCGGCGGCGCTCGCACGATTCGACCAGCCGAAAAAGGAGCCCGAAGAAGACATCAAAAACGAGGTTAAGGATGAGGATAGCGGCGAAAGCGAGTACGAGGACGATCCGGCGGACATAACGAACGAAGACGCTGTCGACATCGATGGTAAGGTGATCAAGGACGGCAAGGGCAGGGGCATGATCAAGGTCTGCGAAGACGAGAACCCCGATGACCAGGACGCCCAGAACGAGCTACAAGAGTTACAGGCGTCGGTGAAGCAATGGCGCCAGACGCATCTCAAGTTCAAGCGCGAGCCCGTGGACGAAGCTGAAGCTTCAAGTGTGCCACCACCGAATCGAGTAGCAGAGTTATCGCGCAAGGAAGCACCGACGATCCGGAGGCCAGAGCAAGAAGTTCCTCCTCGAGTCAAGGTCAAGGAGGAGCCGGACGACGATCAGGAGGCGCCAATTTTAGATATCGCGAGTGCAACCCCCACAATCAAGAGAGAGGCGCGAGACAAACCCCGGTCAATAGCAACCCGTCATCCGATCTCACCGCCCAGCGCGTCATCCACGGTGTCGCCGTCGGCCGAGAGACAGAGGGTCACGGCCGCGACGACGGAGTCAGCGGCGATATCAGCGCCAAAGTCTAATAGAGCTGCGGCCGCAGCGACAACGGCCGAAGATGGACGAGAAAGTGAGACCGAGTCCATCTGTGGAGTCTGCTCGTTTGCCAACTCTGCCCTGTCGATAACGTGCGCCGTCTGCTCCCACGTGCTGGACCCGGCAAGCGTACCGAACGCCTGGCGCTGCGAGGGCGCCGCGTGCCAGGGCAGCCAGTATCTCAACCCCGGTGACTTTGGAGTGTGCGGTGTCTGTGGGCAGAGCAAGCAAAAACAGCAAGGCTGAGTTTGGGTTCACGACGTGATAAGGTTAGGAGTGACACAGGACTTTTGCAGCCAAAAGAGATGAGTTCGAGATGATGACAAATTGCGGCTATTGCTAATTGACCGAGGTCCACCGTATACTGACAAACAATTAGACAAGAAAAAGTATGTACGGATCTCTTGGGCAGGAAAAAAAGGAAGCAAACAAGTCATGACTTTCAATGAGGCGATGAGCGCATGTTAATATCGAATTACTATCCGCACCCTCGTCAACTGACTAAGTGACGGGCCGCCGACGACAGACGGTAGGGCTCGTTCCTGGCGGTGCACAGCCTTTTGCGGTTGATTTGTTTTCCAGGAACGGATAGTTATTCTAGGAAACTTTTTCCCTCGCGCATTTCCCCTGCGCAGAAAAATGGCAAGCGGGATTATACACTCAGCTCGTACGCAATTTACGAAAATGGCTCTTATTCATTTAAGACTGATATGTCAAGTTGTCAAGTAAAGTTTTGCTGGTGGGTTCGTCCAAAGAGTCAAGCCACCACGGTCCCACGCTTGCCACGGACAGGCTCAGCATGGGATCCCCCTTTGGCCACAAAGGTCGGGCCAGGGGGGGACAATAAGGACGAAACATGGAGAAAGAGCAGGCCAGGCAAGGCGGACAGCCGATCGATGGGGCCAGGGGGGACCTTTTGAAGTGGGCTGTTGATCATGAACTACGGCGTCGTCTATGAAGACTCTACGTAAGGACACGAATAACACCTATCGCATTCGTTCAGTGGAAGTTGGCGATTCAAGACAGATCATGGGATCGCGTGGCGGACATGTCAGATATCTATCCGCCAATTTAGGCCCGTCGAGCAGAATGCATCGTCGAAATGTCATCATCAGCTCGGGGATCGCCAGAGCCAAGGGACGACGCGGAGCCTCGCTTACTCGGCACCTGGGAAAAGAACCTGGACTGGAGATTTCGAGGAGTCCGAAGAAGGAAGGACGAAAAAAATATGGTTAACGGACCCAAAGTCTGGGCAAACTCGCCAGAGTATCTGATAAACAACGAGATACACAGATGACTGATCAATAGTGCAATAGCATGAAGAACCAAAGACCCAAGACCACTATGTACCTTAGCACCAGCAGTAGCAGCAGCGGGGGTGGTTAGAAATGAATTGCACTCTGTGGCTATTCTCGGGGATCTTCTATATCGCTGCGCATCCTATTGACCGGCAGCGGCTTATCAAGATAGTTGAGACGAAAAGAGAAGCAAGCAACACCCGACTTCTGGCTGAGCTTAAGCTCCGGCTGGCCTTTTGCGGTGCAAGTGCATGCAAACGCATCATCATCGAACACCCCCGCGTCCTTTGCCTTCTCCATCCTGCAGAAGTGCAGACAAGCGCTTTTCAAGCTCTCTTTCTGCAGACGGCATAGTTGTTCTCAGCCTATCGTCCATCGTCCACCGCCAAAGATGCACTCCAGAAAGGGGAGGCGAATCCGGGGCAACTGCACGACTGTGGTAGGTGGTATTCGCAGCCCATAAGTCGCGCCAGGCGTGGAGAGACGCGGGAATACCGGGATAGGGGACCCCACCGGTCGAGTTTCAGAAGGCTTAAAATGGGCACCTATCGCCTGGGCCGAAGAAGGACTACCGTTCCTCGCGGGCTGCAGCAGTTTGCGAGAGAAGTGCTTGAGTACCTACCGACAACCGCAACCGCTACCGCACGAATGAGCCAAGGTCGCCTGCCGCTTTGAAGGGAAGGGGGGGCGTGGCTGGTGGCCTACTTTGAGTGCTGGGCCGCCGCTGGCCCTGTTTCACCTTGCGACTCCGGATGACCGCCGCCGTGTCGATTGGACGGCCAAGTGATCACCGAAACTTGTTCCTTCAAGAGATCCCATCCTTTTGGGATTTTTCCTGCTCTTCAGGGGGGACTTTGACTACCACCTTACCTTCTGTGCTTCTGCATTCTACGCTGCAGACCAGTGTCCGATCATCCCTTGGGCTGCGTCCATCACCGTCCCATAGTTGGCTGGTAGGGCATGATGGAATGACGATGCTTGGCTTTATCCGATGGAACGCTCCCCTCTCTCCCTTTCTCCCGCACCTTGGAGTTGATACCTATGTGGTGTTACCCTTGCAAACTCGCCCAGTATCGAATCTCATGCGCCCAGCGGCGGTCCTAAACAGCGAACCGGCGATCCGAGGGCGGGAACGACGCCCCATGTCCTGGACATCTGGCCACACCACTCTCGTGGGAGTAAGAGAGCGCCATAGTAGAGGCCGACTGACTAAGAAATTGCATGGCCAGGAGAGAAGAAAAAGAGGCATTGGTTTCATCCGTTCACACAGCCATTCTGCTCTTGGCAGACTCTAAACACAGGCTTTGCTTTTAGTGACACCTACTCTAATGATACTAAGGTTAGTAGGGAATAGCCCCCTCTTCAGGCGACAGCGTCAGGGCCCCCGTCAGCCTTCAGGCACCAGAACGTGGCGGACTCGAAGCTGTGCTACACCGACCGAGGTTGAGGGAACTCCCACATACAACGTCCGTTTTAATGAGCCTCGAGTCTCGAGTCTCAACTCTCCGGTGAGCAAGCATTCAAGCAGGCGGCAAGGCGGACCATATCTGCAAAGGCACAGAAGCGATCCCGGCGCGGTGCTCTTTGGGTAGCGGAAAGTTCCTCCCAGTTTCACCCATCTCACCGGGCCGGCAGCAGGAAAGAGGAGAACCTGTGGCTATGGAGAGACGAAAGCACGCAACGCAATCCTCGCAACGCAAGCAACGTACGCAACCGCACAAACGTGACAAACGTCTGGTTCCGCGTCCCGCAGCCCGCGTCCGCTCTTCTTTTTGCCTTTCGATAATGGGAAGGAGAAATCAGGGATCCATATTGAAATGGGGCTCAGAGCTCCATACTGCGTACATCCAGAGGCGGTTACCAAGTTCAAGGCCATTCTCTTGCGGATACAGTCAGCCAAGTTTCGCGCCACCCCTCCCCCCTAGACCCTCCACTTCATTGCGACATGGGGAAGCCGGCTCTTGGATTTGCAAAAGACTGGGGGTCCCAGGGTCCAGGGGGGGTGGTGGTGCAAAGTGAAAGTGAGGAAGTTTACAGAAGTAATACCTTGCGGATGCAACCTAGTAATAGCTCACAGCCCAAAGTGCGCGCGGGAGGAAAAAGGATTTCTGGGTTTGTGAATATGGCGGCTTGCGAAACCTACTTAGTGGCTTGCTCGTCCTCCCTACTCTTTTCCTACTTCTACTTCTCCTTCAGCTTGAATTGTTCGAAACTTGTTTCTCTTTCCACATTCTTTTCGAAAGAAACAATCCAGACAGTCTGTTGACAGTCACTTTCCTTCTTTTTCTTCCAACCTTTGATGATCTGTGATCTGTTCCATTCTTTCTTCCAAGAAGCCCTCTTTGCTCCGTTCTAAACCAAACCTCGTCTCGACGACCAAACACACCAAAACTTACAAACCAAACTCACCCGAGATATCTCACGATCGACTTGGCAACACTACACCAAAAGGTCACTCTCAACCTTCAAAGCATCGATCTACTCATCCCTCAAATTAAACGAACTCTCCGAAACGAAGTCCTTCTTCCAGTCATCCCATATCCACGACTGAAAGCCATCAAAACCTCAAAGTTTCACTTGCACCAAAACCTCTTCTCACTCAACCTATCAAACTACCTACTCTCAACAGCCGCAACCATGTTCTCCACGCTCATCCATACCTTTGTCCTCCTCCTCACAGCCACCGCGGCCCTCGCCGCTCCGGCCGGAAGACACAACTGGCCCCGCTTCACCGTGCCCCAGCAGCACTTTGAGGTTCTCAGCATGCGCATGCAGGAGCCCGTGAACCCGGCCGCCATGGTGGAAGCCACCTGCGTCGACCGCAACGCGTACGTCTCTCTTTCACCCACATGACTTACACAAGAACCCTTTCCACTACACACTCTCTTCTCTCCTCCCCTTCTCCCAGCAACATACATCATTTCAATTCCCAATCCAATATCAAATCCCACATGATATACGAATATCAACTAACACACTCACAGCCACATCGTCTTCCACGACCAAAACGCAGCAGAACTCGCCATCTGCGGCGGCATCTCGGGCTCCGTCGACGCCTGCCACGGAAACCCCTCCACCACAGTCGGCCAAGCCGGCTCCGCCCGCTTCAGCCTCAAGACCACCGTCGAGGGCGCGCAGATCACCATCTCAAAGACGAAGTGGGAGCAGTGCGTCCGCGCCGCCCGCGACAAGTGCCCCACCGGCAGCCTCCGCGCCGTGTGCGCCGGCGGCGCGACGGTCGGCGATGTGGAGTTTACGCTCAAGAACTCGTTTAGCATGGACGACTTGTAAGAGAAAAAACTTCGAATGTGCGCTTCGGCTTTTGCATTGTGTCTGGGCGGTGGATGAGGGGATGGTTCTGGTCGTGTCTGATGTGTTTTCTCTCTCTCTTTTCTTCTTACTTTCTTCTCACAGAGGCTGTTCACATCAGTTGATATGCCTCGTTTTTTTCTTTCTTGCTGCGGGCATCTTCTGTGCCGTGGCTTCATGATTTTGATGAAAAGGGTTTTGGGATCGGAGTTTGTCTGCCCTCTTTCAAGGGCAACATCTTCAACCGTATATATATACAACGCGCTTGTAGAAACCACATTCGCATCTGTACAAATTCCTCATAGGGGATGTTTGTCTTGAATCCAGACCTGTTGGCGATCAAAGCCATCCAATCAAAATCACCTTTTTCCATCCTTTTTAAACCAACTTGACAAAAGGGGGGTATCATAACGCCTGGCCGTTCACCATCCATGCTTATCCCATATCCAAACATAGTCGCAAAGTGTCAATCACAATGCCATGTGCGCCACCAAACCCGTACCAAAGTAGCTAAATAACCCCTCAATCTCTCAAATGCCGTACCTCGTAAAACACTCCTCCCGATGCGTCTCAAGACAATCCAAAGCGCAAACCCTCGTCCCGCACTTCATACACTTCACCCGGCCCCAATACCCGCACACCTCGCAGAAACTCCGCTCAGGATACCGCGTATCGTCGTCGCCCCACTCGGCCCTCGCGTCCCAGAAACTCAACATCGGCCGCGAGAGCAGCCACTTGAGCTCCTCGTCCGTCGGCATCGCAGGCACCCGCGACACGAGCAGCGGATCGTCGTCGCCGGGATGCGGCGCGGGGCCCGGTTTATCGTAGGGCGTCAGCACCGGGCCTGTCGCCGTCGCGGAGTCCTCTTGCGTTTCTGCTGCCGGCGCGGGCGTCATCTCGACGTCCTCCGGTTCCGCTGGCGTCTTTGGCGTCGATGTCTTGGAGCGCTTGGCGGCGTTGCGCTTGGTGTGCTGGTTCGGATGGGGCGGTTTATTGGCCGGTTTGGCTGTGTGCTGGTTCGGGTGCGGCGCCGGCGTGTTTCCGGCGTGGGAGAGGAGGGCGAGGTGGTCGTCGCAGTGGTTGTGGAAGGTCTTTTGGGATTGGAGGATTTTGCGAATCGCTGGCGTGCTCTTGTTCTGGCCTGTGATTCCGTCAAGTCGTCGTTAGTTTGGCCGTCGCATTGCGCTTCACTACGTCGGCCCCCTACAGCGTATTGCGAGGCATGGGGTAATGGGGACAGGCGTACCTCTCGAGGCCTTGGCCGGGATGGGTATCGAGGCATCGCGTCCACCGTCGCGGTCCAGCTGCTCGAGCTCCTTGCGGATCTTGGCTTCTTGGCGGACGGTGAGGTCTGAGGCGGTTGGGTTCGCCTTGCTTCGAGCGGCGCGCTTACGGTTCGCGGGCTGGAGGGCGGCGGCGGCCGGGTTAAGGCCCGTATCGGGAACGTAAGCCCATCCCGGGGCGTTTGTGACTTTGCTGCTGGCGAGCTCGTAGACACCAAAATTATTCATGTCGAGGTTGGAGATGTTGCGGCAGGGTTTTTGGAGAGGGTGGAGGAGTGTGGTGGTTTGACTTGGAGCTCTCTGGGTTCTGGAGTCTCTGAGCTTGAACTTTTTTGTAGCGAATCAGAAGAGACGACGTTGAGTGGCTGATTATTGGCCAATGAGAGTGTGTTGGTTACAGACGAGCACCTAGCGGAGAGCTTCCCCAGGTTGTACGTTGAGACCTCGGTAACTAATACTTTACTCGTATTCAAGCAATTGACACTTAGGTACACAATGGATAACAAATTGATAGTTTGATCAACTTTGAAAGGAATCCTAACGCCGTGACAAGTTCCATGCGCTCAGAAGCCGACAAGTGCCGAATGCGCCCATGAGCCGCATTCCCGAACCCCCTTCAGTGGATCATGAAGCCACTCCCCAGAGTCCCAGACAATCCCCAGCAAAAGCCGGCTGGTCGACCGCGCCATTCTGGCCAATAGGATACTCTCAATGGCGTCCCGGCTAATCCCGCCCTCTGTGCTCTCGCTGGTCCGGCGCAGGCGGACGCGGTACCTGACTGAGGTACCTCACTGCAGCCGTGCAGCGCCGCAGCGCCGCCTTAGAGAGGTAAACGACGTAACACGGCTGGGACAGAGCTTCCAGGTTCCCGCCCAAGTTAACCGCACCTCGCCCCCAGAGCACCGACCCGACCGACCTCATCGAACCTGGTCTACGCCATCTCCAAACCCCATAACTTCCACCACCACCACCACAAAACACAACATCATCAGCACGCAAGCCGACCGAGCTCCATTCCCTCCTCATTTCCACACTCCGCGTCCAATTCCGACCGGGTCGCCTTCCATTTCCTCCCGCCGACAGAGCATCCATCCTCCCTCTCTAGCCGAGCTCCACGCACGACATCACCCGAAAACCACAATGGCCTCCCGCATCGTCACCCGCGCCCTCCCCCGCGCCTCCGGCCTCCCTCTCCGCGCCGCCCGCAACTTTCAGACCTCATCTCCCCTGCGCGACGCCGTCGCCGCGCCCCTGCCGGCCCGGAAACCCGTCGGTGCTTTCCGTGGAGGGTATGTCTTGAGCTCCTCTGCCCCGGAGGCAGCTGTCCTGCATCTCGTCCACGAGACCAATTAGGTCTCGTGAGGGTTTTGGGATGCCGGCCGCCACCACTTCATGACCGCATAGAGAGAGATGATGATATCTTTGCTAACGAATCAAACCTCAAACAGTCTGTTCGGTTTCTTCCTCGGCAGCTCCCTCGCCGGCGCCGGTGTCTACTCCTACATCCTCCAAGAATACAAGACCTCCAACGAGCTCCTGACAGAGGACATTTACGTGCGTCATTGTATCTCATTATCTACCTTCCTGCCTCCTCGAGGTTCCTCGCGTCCATCGCCCTGGTCTCTCCCACATCCTTGAGTGGTTCTGGGCGTGGTGTTCTTTGCGTCGTGTGCGCTGCTCCGGAACGCTTCCCGGCGCTGCCTCGCTTCTCCTGCTCTCCCAATATCCCAGCAATACCACATATCTCCGCGACGAACACTACACGAACATTCAATGAGCTAACCCGATCGTATTCCTCCAGGCACTCCAAGCCGCCGTCCAGCGCGTGACCAAGTACGTTGAGGTATTGGAAGAGAAGATGGACGCCATCGAGCGCAAGAGGAAGTAAACAGAGATGTCGCAACGTTGAAAAGGGGAACAAGGAGGATGCGAGTGTAACGAGGACGCGAGATGCCGAGGGGCACGCCGTGGTAATGGACGGTGAGGTTTTTCGAGGCGAAGTCAGCACAAAAAAAGCAGCACAGCACAATGGTTACGACCGGAAATTTTCCAAACAACGTCCGATTTCTTACTCTTTCCTGCGTGAGGTTCCTTCGATTCAGTGGTATGGTTTATGAATCGTGTCGTGGAGATCGAGGTCGAAGAGCTCGTGTATATCAAAGACTGTAATAATATGCTTACAAGGCGTGGGAGTTTCTGCAAGGACGTGTCTAAAGTGTCCCCCCAAGAGTGACTTCTCTTTACAGTCCGAGTCGTGTTCACTCAGCCGCTCTCGCTCAAGCTCAAGGCACGACCGAGACAGCCACCCGAGCTTACGGCAGCCAAGAATCTGAGAATGGCCATTTCGAGGAGCGACATTTCCATGATGTTGTTGGCTCACCTCTTCTTCAAGTCTACCGTCTTCGGATAAAAGGCTCTGGCGCAGTCTGTTCAGGTGCCCTCCCTCAATTAAATACGACAAGCAAGTTTCAAGAACCTCAGGTTTCTCAGGTTGTGTTTCTTTTCTCGTCTTCCATTCTTGCTTCGTCTTTGTAATCAGTCTTGATGTTCCAATAATGATGAATACGGTTTTATACTCAATCTGCCATCTCTCATTGAACTTGCGCCATTCAAGTGTGAACGTGGATTGCCATTCGTGAGCATGCCGACCGACACTTGGAGTGTGACGGGCTGGCGCAGCTTGAAGCATAAGACCTGCAGTTCCACTCCTTTCTGCCCTGCTCTCGTATCCGTTTCTTGACTTTCACGTTGCCTGGATTTCTGATAGAAAAGTTGGCGAAGCAAATACGACCTGAGGCACCTTGATGAAAGTTCACGCAGATAATACCTGATAGTCTAATTTACCGTATCCCTCCGCCTCACTCTATAATCTCAAGTATGTACGTCCGCAGCAAACCCAAAGGATGATAACGAGTGTAATGAACTGCTCTAGACTTGTAAGCATACCAGAATTGAAAGTTAAGAGGGTAAGAAAAGCCTCTTATGTAGCTGGGAATATTCTAAACGCAGATATACAGGACACAGATGCGCATCACATCAAGATACTTGGAGGATAATACATCGATTCGATGAGCTACATATTGACGTTATGAAAAGGGCAGAGTTTCTGTACGACACTCCAAAAGCCGCTACCGCTTCGCATCCAGAACATGCGGCTCCGACGTAACTCGTTTTCAAGAAAAGGAGAAAGGCGTAGCGAAAACGCTACTACAACCCTCCAAGGCACACATCCTTTCCCTTCTCCCCGAAGCTCTTGTGATGCTTCACCACGATCAGCATAAAAGACTGGCACACGGAGAATCTTTGGTAGCAGCATACGCACCACGGCTCAAAGTCTCAATGTCGCACAATCTACCTACTGTCAATCTATGTCCAATACTACGCTTCAACACACTGCCGAGCAAGCTCGGTGGAGCCAGTGAATTTTTCGCTGGAAATTTGAATCGTTGCCTCTTGGTAACGACTATCACCACAATTGTCAAGGGACGTCAATCTTTTTGCAGCCATTGATAAGGCAAATCTTCCAGAAGAGTACTTCTGCGTGTGTGATGAATGAGAATGATCGAGTCCTGCTGGAATGAGATATTTGTGTGAAGGCCAAGGGCAAGATAGCATCGGAAGTTGCGGTATAAAGAACGGCTATGCTGGGGAGCTTGTAAACCAGGACGTCCAAGGAGTAGGGCGGAATTCTTGGACGAAGACTACCTCTTTGCAAGTGTTAGGTCGGTGTGATGCGCGCCTCTCAGTCTTGCGTCGTGTGGCTCTCAACAGACAACATATTAATTCACGGAACGTCAAAAAGCCAAGTAGAGTCACCGAGATTTCAGGTCACGATTTACGCAGTAGAGGAGAAACTTTAGACATGTGCTCGAATTTCATAACGTTAATTTACCCGCAGACCATAATGCAAAGAGTCGACCTAACGCGCAAGAGGTATATAGTCCCTATCCCATGGGACGTCCCAAAGTGTCATTTCATAGTGAACCCAGAATTCTTTTACAACTCGTCGTGAGCATCCTCCTTGGCCTTCTCGGTCTCCTTGGCCTTCTCAGCCTCCTTCTCGGTGGCAGCAGGGGCGGCCTGGCTCTCCTCGGCGCCCTCCTCCTTGACAGAGACCTCGGCCTTGTACTTGCCGTTCTCCTTGACGAACTCGATCAGGTCCTCGATGGAGCGGGAGCCGGAGTAGGTGACGGCGGCATCCTTGTTGCCTGCGGGGTAGAGCTTGATGGTGGGGAAGCCCTGGATCTCATCGGGAACGTCGTTGGCAGTAGCGTCAACCTTGGCGATGACGACCTTGTCCTTGAACTCAGACTTCTGGTACAGCTCACCAAGCTCCTCGTACTTGGGGGCCAGAGCCTTGCAGTGACCGCACCAGGGGGCGTAGAACTCAATCAGGACATCCTTCTTGTCATCAAGGACAACCTGCTCGTAGTTCTTGGCGACAACGACAGTGACGGGGCCGTCGTTGGACTCAGGGATGGGCTCGGACTTGATGCTGGGCTTCATCTTGCCGGAAGAGAACTCCTCAACGAACTTGGCGATCTCATCGTGGGTGATCTTCTTCTCCTGGTCAAAGGGGAACTTCTGATTCTTGACGGTCTCCTGGATGGCGAAAGAGGGGAACTTGTCGGTGGCGAGGTTGAGGTTGCCGGCGTGAGCACCGAACGCCTTGGCGTCGATGGTAGCGAAGTTGATCTTGCCGCGGTACTTCTCAGCGATGGGCTTCAGGGCGGCGCCAAGCTCCTCACGCTCCTCGGGGGTCTCGGCGAAGATGTAGGCGAGGGGAAGGCCAGCGGACATGTAGCCGGAGTAGGTCTCGGGGCCGACCTCACCGATCAAGGGAGTGGCGGCGGTCTGGGCGAAGGTCTCAATGGCCTCAGCGTCGAACTTCTCAGTGAAGGTGGCCTTGCCCTCATCGAAAGACTTGTAGAGGACAATGGCAGGGGCCTTGATGCCCTCAGCCTCAGCAACAGCGGCGTCGTTGACGCCACCGAAGAGGTAGGTGTCGCGGAGCTTCTCAGCGACCTTGGTGAAGGTCTCGTTGGAGGCCTTGTCAGCGGCGTCGATGTAGGCGACGAGGACGACCTTGTCGGCGGTCTTGAACTCCTCAAGGGTGTCCTTGGTGAGGATGGAGACGGCGGGCAGGGACTGCTTCACCATGTAGGAGGTGATGGCAGCAGCCTTGCGCTGGCCAGAGTAGGGAGAGACGTTGTCGGGGCCACGGAAGACCTTGAGGGTGGGGTAGCCCTCAACGCCGTACTCCTGGCAGAGATCGGACTCCTCAGTGCAGTCGACCTTGACGAGCTTGATGTTCTTCTCCTTAAGGGAGGTGGCAGCCTCCTCGTACTCGGGAGCGAGAGCCTTGCAGTGACCGCACCAGGGAGCGAAGACTAGACGTCGACGATCAGTATTTATTCGACTCGAGGGTAGCTAGGCAAAGGAGGGAGACTCACACTCAGCGAGGACGAGGTCGTTGGTCTTGATGAAGTCGGCGAAGTCATCCTTCTTCAACTGGGCAACATCGGAGGCGGAAACCGCAGCAGCGGCGGCCAAAAGGCCAAGGGCAACACGCTTGCAGAACATCTTGATCTTGCGAGGAGGAGAAATGTTAGCTTTGGTACGAGCGATTGGTGATGCTATTGCGGAGAGTCTTGATGGTGGACGAATTGTAGAAAGAAGGATTGGGGGCTCTGTCCAGCTTCAGGAGAGGCAGAGCTGTGTAGATTTGGCGGTGGTGGCGACCGTCTGTTGCTACCTCATGCAACCGATGAAGCTTGGTGATAGCTTGGGGAGTAAGTGAAGTGTTGAGAGGAAGCTTACCTTTCTTTGATCTGAAGAATGAACAGTGAAGAAAGAAAGAAAAAAGTACACTCGTGGAGAAGGCGAGGCTGTCAAGTCTAACTTCAGACCGGAGTGAATGGGGAAGGCTTTGGTCTTAAGTAGAGGGTGGAAGAGGTTCTGGAGAAAGATTCCGGATTTCTAAAGGGCAATTGAGAACAGGTGTCCCTTTTTCCAGGAACCGCCCGTCAGCTCATGCATTCACTCAGGCGGCTGCAGTGTCTGTGGTGGATGAGTGGATGGGGGAACGCCCCTCTCCTCTTTTTGGGCTAAGTTCCTATAAGTCTTTCCAGCAGTAATCATGCAGGAGAAGGACATTAGGCGGGCAAGAATATACTTACCCCAATCCACAGGCGGGCCCGTGCCTCCTTAGGTAGGTACCTTACCTTGCGGTTGTGAGGGGCAAACTCGCTTTCACTCCCCTCCCTTTCAGGCACTCCCCCCACCGTTCGACCGCTAGGAACACCAACTTACGGTGAATTGATAATCAAGCCAGGCTGACCAGCGGCGGTTTGAAGGTGAAGCTGAGCTAAGGTAGGAACGGTTACCTATCCTTTTTTGCCGTGGAGAGTATCCGTAAGCTCAGTTTGCCATCGTTACCTTATGTACCTGGGCCTTCTACCTTGGCATCACCCTTATTTCTGCCTACGCCAAAGTCCCCTTTCAAGTCTCCGCCAGTGCATGAAGAAGTTGTTAGAGCTCCACGATCCGCTTGTCAGCAGTCCTCCGAGGCTGAGAGCCTCAAGGGCGTAAAAAGAAGCCGGGGGGCAAATGCGCTCGGAGGCCATTGTCCTTGACAGCCCCCCTTTCCATACGTTCCGCCTTATGCCTGGGCGGTCTGAGACAGATAGGACATCGTTGATCGAGGAATGGCTTTCAACATGGCACAAGCACTGGCGATGGCACAGGCACCATGGACCTTGAGGCAGGCCAGATACGTCTTCTCTACGACCTCCATCCCATGTCCTCCCAGTTCCAGCCCGGACCAGCTCACTGCGCGCCAGGCTCGGGTTGGTTCAATTGCGACGGAAGTATGTGGTGGTGGTGGTGGTCTCGTTCCTTTTCCGTTTGTGTCTCTTGGTCCTTCCTCTATGGCGAAAGGAATGCAACGCAGACACAGCCAACAATGGGGTCCGTATGTCTTGGGGGCGGCAAGGTTCCTAACATCCCAAAGGACACATTTCCACGTTTTGCCGTGTACAAGTTACAACAAGCTCTTCGGTGTATGTATTTGGGGTTGCAAGCTTGTCCATTCCAGCACAAGGATCACCCTCTTGCCATTGGATCTGGTGGTGGGATTTTAACGTCTCCACCACCCGCCAAGCTGCCCTGCCGGCTCGAGATCCATCGGCAATGCTACCGTGGAGCGGATCACTAAACCAGATCTGGCCACTTTCGGCAGCTTCTTATTTGGTGCTTCGACTCGCAGTCCGACAAAAGAGTGGAGGTGGCTGCTGCGAGAAGCTCCAGCCACCCATTATTGCTCACGACGCAAGCTGCTCTACTGGATACCGTGGTCAAACCTCCCAGCCTCATTTCCAGGGTCCAACATGGAAATTATCGACGCAAACCATAATCGCACCTGCGATGCTGCATCTGGACTTGCTGTGGGGTTTGAGTTGGGCGTTGCCGGCAACCACGGCAACACTTTGAAGTAACGGCAGATCTATTCAGAAGAAGAGATAGGGACTTGGAAACCCACGAACTCGACCAGGAACACTTACATCGGCAAACGCGTTTCGTTATTTCGCCTCTACGGAAGAACTCCCAGAATGCTACTCCGTCCTGCCCATTTGCTTCGCTGCCTACAAAGTGGAACCGTGTCCCGAACAACGCAGCGGCTGACATGCTCCGTGTCGCCCCAAACTCTCCATCTCATCTTTGCCTCCGACCCGGCCGCTCCGCCGCAAGTGGGGTCTTGTTGAAGAAGCTTTAAGAATCCGTCTCATGGTTTGTGCTATGTAAATGGTCAGACAAGACACATGCTGGCTGGAGCGCCGTCGTCGGCATCGTATTCCAATTTCCGTATATTACCTCGCAAACCATTTGTCGCGTTACTGAGTCGTTCAACGATCAATGAGGCTGAAAAGCGAAAAGGACAGATGTCACTCATCTACCTTACCCAGCAGAGAACGTGAGCATAGTATCCTATTCGCATCGTCTGTCGAATTTCGCCCAGGAAATTGCTCACCACATGAACCTACTGATCCTCAAGAGGATTACCTAAACAGGCAAGTGCCACTACATGGCAAGCCAATCAAGTCATCGTGTCCTCAAAGTTGTCAGGTTCAGCGACTCAACTGTTAATCACCCCTTCGATTTTCATGGATCTAGATGCGTACGATCTACGAATAGACAATCCAAAGTCTGTATGGTCGTTTGTCTGTCGTTCTTGAGGTCTGAAAGCTACATCTATCATCGTGCACGGATGACAGATGACGATGAATATCTGTTGCAACCTCCCAGGGTTAGTTCTGTCTTCTTACACGGGCCGGCCTCAACTAGGTGGTAGGTTTGCTTGCAGGACTGGCAAGAGACCGTCCATGGTTCCAGATGGACTCGGATAGCAACCTGAATCGCCTTCCCTTTCAACATCTCATCTCGCTAGCCACGATCATGTCCAAATCTGAGCCGAATACTCTGAGAACGCGACTTTTCACATTGCACTTTCAAGCAAAGGCCTGCTCCTCCTCCATATAAATACGTAATTGGGTAAAGAGGCTCCCTTTGAGACAAGATGAGGGACGTACTTCGAGGAGTGCCTTCCTTGTGGCTTCAAATCATCGCGAGGTAGGTGCTCTGTCGCGGTGGCGAACCAGATGAGTATACCTGCCTTTACGGCATCGTCGTCCCTTCCTACTTTGACTTCGCGAAGAAGTCAAGGTCAACTGACGTCCACTCCGCTGCCAACTCTGCCCAAATGTTTGCTCGACACAATGCCCAAACATGCCACCCTGCTGGCCTCAACATAGCTTCATGTCGACTCTTTAGGATCTCTCTTTCAGTGCCCGACGATTTTGCTGTGTCTGTTAAGTAGAGATACTTCATATTACCATCTACCCGTGCCACGACTTGGTCAAAGCCTCTCCGAATGGAAAACATCCACGCTCAACGTCGTTCCGCCAGCCATGGCTCGCTTCGCAGCAGCTACAAGTCCCACGCTCGACCACCCATTGGATATGGTCTACCACGTCGACCATTGAGAAGCGTCAACGAGAATGCTAGTTTACTTCCGTCGCCCGGTCCTCTTGAGAGCATGCTCAAGACCACAACGGAAACAGGCGACATAGGCATCTTCAGCATCAAGCCAATAGCTCCAGCGGCCACAACACACCAATGCGCAAGATCACGGACTGGACTCGATGTTAACACAATCTTCAGATCTGAGTCTCGTGCCAGCCATCGGACCATCTCTGGAGCCGGCCGTCGATGGAACAGCTCTGACAGAGACACCAATTCAGAAATCATCTCCATGTATGGCTCAGAAGGCCCTCCGACCTCCTTCTCTAGCTCATTCTCTCCCAAAATCGATGGGCCGTACCAGCGTTCATACTCCCTGACCACATGTGGTTCTCGGAAATTGTCCAGTAAGAAGTCATCTGGTACTCTCCAAAGCCATTCGAGTAGCGGCATCTTGCAACGACCACGCTCCCCGTTTCCCTACCCGACTCGACTGAAACGGCCCGGAGTTCGGCCATCTTCGCCGGCTCTCACGGAGAATGGACTTGTTGACTACAGTAGGATGGTCGAAATAGATCGAATCTCATATGTAAGCATTCATAGCCCTCCACAAAGTGTAGCGTAACAGGAGCTCATCATTTATCAGAGGACTGTGCATGGCTCGTATAAGCCAACCTTTCCACAACCGCAACGATTTGGTCCTTCCAATGCGTTTCCCGGCGGCATCAACCAATCCATGCCGTCTCTACCGCATTCCAATTCTTTCGTGTCGCCTACCGGATCCGCTCTTGGGTATCGTGAGTACCATTACCCGTGGGGTAACGAGCTTGCGAGCAGACCACGACGACCATCCACGGATCATAGTGCGAGATCCTCAAGCCTGACCTCGGTCATTGAGATGTACTACAGATCACCCTCAAACTCGGAACCCAATCTGTCACGCGCAATTCGCCCCGCAGGATCTTTCTACTACGACTACACCGAAGCTTTTGAAACCCCGGAACGCCAAACAGATCCTCGGGATTCTACCTTGGCGCTGCCTTTAGCTCCGATTCCTCAGCGAGCATCGAGCCTTACCAGAGCCTTGGTACTTCGAGACGAAACGAAGGCTCGTCTTGATGCTGTCGTCGACATATCTGTGAAAGACTCGAGCGATTCGTCCGGTGATGATTGTCGAGCCTTGGCCAAGAAACCTGCCAATGACATAGAAACGTTACCTTCTCAGCGCTTGAGCTCCAGAACCACTCCTCCAATGCTGGAACAATTCCCGTTCGAGGTTGATGGGACATCGGCTTCTCGCCCTGTCGATGTTGATAACGATTTGAACATGTCTGTACATTGTTCACAGACCGTCGATACTGCAACTTTCCAGCAATCTCAAACGACTCCAAAGCCTCAAAACATCGGACATAACAATGTCGAAGATGAAGAAAACGCGGAAGACTATGCCAACACGTCTCGAGGCCATGAGCAAGGGAATGAAGGCCACACAACGGAAGCCAACGCTGATACTTCCCATCCCGCTGTGGAGCATACAACGGGGCATACAACGGGGGCACCGTCTGAATCCCATTTCAAGAGTGCGGACGAAATCATTTCAGGCCCCAACGAACCCAGCACGTTGCGATTAGAGCTGCTCAATCGAGATCGGCTATCCAGAAGAGCCCCGTCCCACAGTGGCCTCGCGGCGCTTCTCCGCTCGAGTTTACGCCATTCAGTTGAACCTGGCCTATCCGACCTTGCGGCTTTGGTCTCGTCATTCGAGCGTATTGCTAGGTCACCCTTCATGAGCAAGGATGAAGACCCGACTGGGCTTCACGAGGTTGATGCAGATGAGTCGAAAGACCTCAAAGCTGAAATGGAGCATAATCACCCCCTGGAGGGGGGGAATATGGTGAATGAGTTTGAAGCAAACGGCGCAACCCATCCTGACCTTCAGTGG